AGGGTTCTAAAGTGTATCTTGAACGATTCTGTCTTTACTCTGGAGCCTAGTATTCTGTTGCTTCTATATTAGAGTAGCACCCTAGAACAAAAGAACCTCATGTCTAATTTTACCATGCCAATTGGATAGACTTCATTCTTTTTCTTCTCTGGGTCATGCTTCCAACTCCTTTTTTAAACCAATAGGTTAGTTCATCTTTTTCCAAACAAGCACTATACTCACATTCTATAAAATAGACATAAATATGCAAGGTTAATTTTAAGAAGGCACATATTCTATTTTTCATAGAAGTGACAAATGTAAATAATTTCTCAGATTGTAGCGATGCTCCTATTTATAGATGACATATTCTAGTGTTAACTTTTTTTTAAAACTGCAGAAGGATTGATTTTAGGACATAAACAAAAATAAACTAAGGTTTAATTATGCAAAAAATTATAAAAGGCAAACCAAAGCAACATCAGATGAGGCCCAAAGGAAAAATCAGATCACTTGTTAGAACTCTAGGGGAAGAGTTTAGGGGAGATTTGGGATACAGGGGTGTCATCGATGGCCAACTCAACTGCTTCCCTTTATAAACCAGAAATCACTAGTTCCCTGAGTTACCACCCCAAGATAACCAGTGGTTTGTGGCAGAGCCAGAGATTGGGCCTACGTTTCTTGATTTCTGCTATTTTTCCTTCTTGATTACAACTATTTTCTTTCTTCTGTAACATATACTAAACGATGGTTATTAGATTATTGTGTGTTTTGTTTTGTCTTGGTAAGAAGTAAAATAAATAGTCCCCTGGGTCTCTGCAGTGGGAAGAGGTCATCATTGTGAAGTAGGTAAAGGGGTTGAAAAAAGGAGCCTTTGTGTTTGTGTGTGTTCAGGGAGGTTTCCTGTAAAATGTCCTTTACTTTGTGATGTAGTGATTTAGGGTGGGGTTGACCTAGAGCATTTTTTGCCCTAGTTACAGAGGTTGTAGAAGTCCTGTTGCCTGTTAAGTCGTGCCCAACAAAAATCTGGTTGAGCAGCCTCTGCACAGCACTTTGTACACAGCAATCGGGGGATAAGTGGTAGATGAGTTGAAGTGATAGTGGCAGGAATCATAAATCAGATTTAATGCAGTCCTGATAAAGAATTGTGTATTGTCTCCACTCTGAAATTTGATGAACACTGTGCATGAATTACCCACCGTGATACATAGTGAAGAGCTTGATTTTGGCTAACTTCTTAAGAACCTGTGTATGCTGAGAACTTCCCCACTGCCACTGGAAGTAAACACAAGAGAGGGTTTTAAACCAGACCCATGCCATGTTCAGGCAGTTTGTGTGCCCCAGCCATGTGCCATGAGATTTGTTGTTAGCCTTGCCACACTGAGACTTCCTCTTGGCAGCTGTCCTGTGCTTCCCCAAAAGGAACAACCCAAAACAACTGACAAAAACAAAGGTTCCCTGCCTTTCTGTCTCTAACCTCTGAATCCATAACTATCCTTACCTCCTCCTCCTCCTCCTCCTCCTCCTCCTCCTCCTCCTCCTCCTCCTCCTCTCTCTCTCTCTCTCTCTCTCTCTCTTTTTTTAAAGAGAGGGAGGCAGAAACACAGGCAGAGGGAGAAGCAGGCTCCCTATGGGGAGCCTGAGGTGGGACTTGATCTCAGGACCCCAGGATCACGACCTGAGCCAAAGGGAGATGCTCAACCACTGAGCTACCCAGGTGTTCCTCCTTACCTCCTTCTCTGCTGTCTCTCCCACCTCCTGTTTAAGGCACTTCACTACTTCTTTTCTGAATCCCTCCTTTGCCTCTCACTGAAGAATCCTCTTTCTGTAGGCATCTCCTGTTAGTTCTTCCCCTCAGTATGTAAGTTTGTCTTCCTGGGAGTCCCCTACCAGGCACAGCATCTTTCCTCCTTCCTTCCTTTTATAACTGAGCCTCTTGCACATAAAGGGTGGGCTTCTTGGAATCATTCAATCCTTACCTTTTCTTCTCTCTCACCTTCTCTGGTCAGTATTCTGCTTCACTGAAATTGCACCATCAGCTTCTTAATTGGCCATTCCAAAGGTCTGTCTCAGTGCTTGTCTTGGCTTTTCTGCAGTAGTTTACATCACTGTTCCTTCTCTCTGGCTCGCCTGGCTGCTTTTATCTTATTCAACTTATTTATTTATTTATTTATTTATTTATTTATTTATTTATTTATTTATTTATTTATTTAACTTCTTTATTGTGACTTGTCCCTTCTGTGCCAGCATTCTTCAAGAATCTACCTGCCTCCTTTTCTCATTAGATGCTGCCTGCGTTTTTTCCTCTCTGTTCATATGGTAAGAGAGTGCTGCTCTGATTTAACTTTCCAGCTCAGATCTCTTTCCTGAGCATCAGACTTCACCTCACTGGAGATCCTCTAGGTACCTCAAATTCAGCATGTTCAAAGCTCTGCTGTCCCCCAGTCTCTTCCTCTGTTCCTGATTTTATAATCCATCTAAATCAGATACTAAAAACCTTGGTGTCCTCTCTCATTTCTTCTCTGTATCCCTTAATATAGTATCACCAGTCACGTGCTTCTCTTCCATCCTGAATTGGCCATACCATCAACGGTTTTGCTAGTGCTGATGTCTTTTATTGGTCTTTTTTCTTTACTGGAAAATCTTCTCTTTCTTCTCTAGCGCACATTTTCCCACTGTCCACACCAATGGCTCTGGCTTTGATTCCCTTAAATGAGTGCATAAGGCCAGAAGCCAAACTATTTCAGGATGAAGTAAGGTGTCAAGTATAAAATGCTACAGGGAGATTGAGGAAGGTGAGGACCAAGAAAGAAAACACTGGATTTGGTGATTCAGGTGGTGTCTGACTCTGGGAGAAGTTTTGTAGTATGGTGAAGACTCCCCACACTTATTTCACCTTTTGCCTATCTTTGTCTGAGATAGCATTCAAGTGGTATCCTTCTAGTCACTGAAACTTTGTTATTAGTGTCCTTCCTCTCCTTTGCCCACTTTATCCAGTTAGTAAATTTTGCCAGTTGACACTTCAGTATATTCTCTCTCATTTGTGTCCCTTTGATTTTTTTTTTCTCCTTGAAGATCAATCTTTGTAAATCATCTTTTTGTTATTCACATCTAATTGATTATCAGATTATGATGGTTCTTCTTCATAATCAAATTGTAAATCTGTCCCTTTTTTTAAAAAACATATTTAAAGATTTATTTATTTATTTTAGAGAGAAACTGTGTGTGAGAGTGAGTGCAGAGAGGGGTAGAGGGAGATAATCTTCAGGCACACTCTGCGTCGAGTTTGGAGTGTGATGCAGGACTCAATTCCTCTACCCATGAGATCATGGCCTGAGCCAAAACCAAGACCTGGAGGTTAACCAACTGAGCCACTGAGGCACCCCTTAATATTTCATTTTTAAGTAATCTCAATACTCAACATGGGACTCAGACCCACAACCCTGTGATCAGGAGTTGCACATTCCACTGACTGAGCCAGCCATGCACTCCCCTATAACCATCTTAATTGGAAAATACAGTGGACAGTTTTTAGCTCTTTGTCCTATTTTATCATTCTTAATGCTGTTGATCACTCCTTCATAACTCTCTTCTCTGGACTCTTGAGACTAGGGAGAGGGGACATATTTGCATGTATGACTAGCTTTAGATTACAGACAGTTCTCCTGCTTTTCTTGACATGTCTTTGGTGGCCTTTTCTTAGGGCCCCCAAATAATAGTGTCCTCTGGGTTCTGTCCTCTGGCTTGATCTCTCATGACCATGTTTGAGCAATCTCAGCTATACTTACGATTTCAATTACCACCCATCTATTGATTCCCAAATCTTTGTCCTTAGCACACACTCTTCCACTGAGCCCCAGAACTGGGTTCTTCAGTTGTTATTTCTACTTGGAGATTCCACAGAACTTTAAATGGATTCAAAAGTGGACTTACCATCATCTTCCCAGACATCTTCCTTTTTCATTTTGCCTCAATGAAGGGTACCATCAGTAGCCCATCATCCAGATATGACACCTTGGGAACATTAATGCCTCCTCTCTCACTGTCCCCATTCATTAGGTCACAAATCCTATTGAGTCTACTGCCTGAGTTCCTAAATTTCTCAGGCCTGCCTTCATGTTTCTGTCCTCACTGCCTTAGCTTGGACCCTTATTATTTCTTGCCTTATCAGCTTAGTCTCCTAACTGTCCTCCCTTTGTGCAGTCATCTCCCCTTCTTCCTCCCTGCTTCCAAATCCCATACTCAGAGCTGAAATTTGAGTGCTTATTATACATGTGAAATATTGTGCATTCATTCTCACTTAACCATCACATTAAATCACTATTCTCCCTTTTGCTTTGGAAGAGGGTAGGCCCAGGTCTCACAAATACAAGTGGTGAGATAGAAATTTGAACCCAGGCTGTATGCTTCAGAGCCATGGACTTAGTTAACTAGCTCACCGAGAACCTTTCACTGGCTACCCTTCTTTCCATATTCTAGTCTTTGGAAGCAAGTCACTACTCAAGGTAGGAGGTTAAGGTCTAACTCCTGTGAGGGAACTAATGATGTTAATTATTTGGAATTCTATAAGAAAGATTTATCTCTTCCCCTTGTTTATTTACTCAGTCATTTATATATTGTAGATGTGTTTATTTTGTATTTGGGTTTATAATTCAATACTATGTTATTTATTTAATGAGCTCTCATTTTTAAAATGTTCAAGTTATTACCAGTTTTTTGCTGTTATAAAACCTGATGAATGAATATTTTCTTAGAAGTCTTGGCATGCTGTTTTGATGGTTTCTTTTAGATATATTCCTCAAAGTAGGTTTGTTGGGGTAGGTACATTGAAGTTTTCTGTACCTGTTTCTCAGGAGTGGCGTTTTTACATTAAACATCTGTTTTTATATTACTGTCTTTCTAGAGCACTTCCTAGTGCTCTAACACCCTTGAGGTTTTGCATCCCTCTTTGAGATTATAAATCGTTTATCTTTAAAGCCAGGAACTCACAACTGTTCATGCTGATTCATTTGCCTGTGTAGAGTATTGTGTCAAAGAATGCACTGCAATATCGGGGAAATTCCCAGCATGACGCCCAGGAGTTTCTGCTGTGGCTTCTGGACCGAGTTCATGAAGACCTCAATCATGCTGTGAAACAAAGTGGCCAGCCTCCTGTGAAGGTGAGGGTGCGCACCCTGCTGGGGCAGCCAGGAAGCAAGTGAACAGGGTGCTCCGTGGTGGCTTAATTGAATGGAGTGAGTATAGTTTCTTCTCTTAAACTTCCACTGAGGAGTTGTTGCAGTTTGCATTTGGTTAGTATAGTGAAATCAAGTAAGCTCTGGGTGAGTATAAAATTCAGCGATACTTAGAGGATTTTCCCCATGTTTACTGCTTGCTGGCAGCATAAGAGAAATGCTGGGTCTAAAGAACTTAAGAGTCTAGGGAAAGGGGACATATTTGCATGTATGACTAGCTTTAGATTCCAGTTCACTAAGCTGTTTTTAAAGCAGAAATTTTTTCCATTGAGACCCATAGCCTTATATCTCACTGAAATGAATACATACTCATAAAGGAAATGAATGGGTGTCTTTGCTGTTACAATTGGATTTGAGTGTAGGAACTAAACCCCTAGAATATTCTTACTAAGAAACAGTGATTCATCCTCAATTTTATTCATGCAGCCTTAATGCGATTGGTAAAATGATTTATATAATGGAAATAATTAAGACCAAAGAGTTGCGATTCTCTTGCCACTTTAAAAGTTTTTGATAATTCTGCACTGTACCTCAAAATTTCATTCTTTGATTTTGGTAAGGTGTTAAGTAATTCTGATGCAAGGTCCTTCTGTGCCTGTACACTCTATTATATGGCCACGTGCTTGTGGCTGGCTCTCCCACCAGATTGGGATGTACTCAAGGTCAGGCATTGTGTCTTATTTATCTTTGTGTCTTAATGCCCTTTTCAGGGCTCTCTGCACGTGGTAGCAAGTGTTCAGTGACTTTCGGATGGACATGAAAAGGCTAACTAAGTATGCAGTAGAGTGGCTGGGCACTAAAGCGAGCAGTGCAGCTGGCAGGGCCTTAAGTGGGTGGGCACAGTGGTTGGGGTTATTTCCTGGAAGAGGCTTTGAGAGAGAGAAGGAGTCCTAAAGAGGGGGACTTTGCACTAGAGGGAGGTGGGAGCACTCTGTAGGAGTACTCCCTGACTGTTTGGGTGGATTGGGGGTGGAGAGATCAGCACAGGCATGGTCTGTGGGACAGCCTGTGAGATGAGTCCTTGTGACCCCCGCCTTGGCCACTGCGTTCCGATGCCATTAGCACATCCTTTTTACTGGAACATCTGGACCTGATGCACAGTTTGTAGAGGAATTCAGGGACATTTGTGACTGTTTCAGGTTCCATCAAGAATTGGTACTTCTAATCTGTGAAATTGTACTTTCCATTTTTTAGCCACCATCAGAGACTGATATGATGCCCGAGGGACCATCTTTTCCTGTCTGTAGCACTTTTGTACAAGAACTTTTTCAAGCCCAGTACAGGTAAGAGCATATCAATGTCTCATATGTGCTCTGCTTGACATTGCTCTAGATGATCCTACTGTGCATGTCTTTCATTTTTGTTTTTGAAGATCTTCTTTGACATGTCCTCACTGTCAGAAACAGAGCAACACTTTTGACCCGTTCCTCTGCATTTCTTTGCCAATTCCTCTACCCCACACAAGGTAAGAATAGATTTAATAAAATTAACACTGTACATTCCTGTGTATTCCTTTCCTCTGTAGGTTCCTGTTAGTCTTTCCTTCTTACTTATTTAGACAAGTAATGGAATTAGTGATAAATTGAATACAGGCATTATTAAAACCTTGAGGTTTGCCCAGGGCATTAGGACACAAAGATAAATAAGACACAAATCCACTCTGTCTAAATTTGCAGGGTGAGCAGGCATACGGGACAAGTAAGTCTTTTCAGTCCCTGTGGTTGTAGTCTCTTCAGTTGCTCATCCATTGATAGTGTCGGGCAGGGGGAGGGTTGTTGAGTGTCTTCTAGATTTTCCAGAGACTTTATTTTGCACTTTTAGTTGCTTTATTTGAACTGTTTTTTGAAATTTCTGAGAATTGTAAAGAACGTATAATGCACAGAGTCAAGTGTTGATATATTATATTTTGTTTGGCTGCCTTCTCCAAAGAGGCCTTGGTTTTTGTTTTCTGGTTCTACTTAGGTCCAGATGACATTTTTTTCCCTTTGGCTTCCAGATAGAGTTGTGGGTTGGCTTCTGTTTTTTGTTAATTTCAGATCAGGTTTGTTTTGCTTCTGTATTTTAGTTGAAATAAGTGCCTAATGAGAAGATCTGACTTTGATCTGCACAGGCCTCTCTATGTTACCGTAGTGTATCAGGGGAAATGTTCTCACTGCATGAGGATTGGTGTGGCTGTGCCTCTGTCTGGGACTGTCGCCAGGCTTCGGGAAGCAGTGTCTATGGAAACAAAGATCCCCACTGATCAGGTAATAAGCCTGCTCAGGCCAATTACACATGAGCCATAAAAATGTTGCTTTCTAAAAAAAACAAACAAAAAAAAATGTTGCTTTCTCTTCTGGAATTTTTTAACAGTCCCCTGCCAAGTATGGTTAGGTAGAAATGTAAAACCAATTGTGTCTGTGTGGAGGAAAGAAAAATTAAGACCCAAAGGATGAAAATGTACATTAAAACTTTTCATGCTTCATTTAATTATATATATATATATATATATATTTAAAAGGAAAGCTATGATTTTACACCAAGACCTTCCTTTTGGCTTCATTTATAATTACTCAGCCTCTCTTAAGCCATTCTTAGGGATTTTTCTGTGGACAATAGGTAGAGCATCCCTCTGGTATTTGAAGGTCAGAGAGGCTTAGAAAAGTTGACCCTTTCCAGTATGGTGATAAGAATGGATATCTACTTGCTGGTATAGTACATATAGATGCTCAGTATGGTTCACTTTCTGCTTAAAGCTGGGTTAGAGACACACTTTGTTTAGATGAGAGAAAGGAATGTTGTACCTCTTCTGCCGCCTTTTTTGGGGTAAATTTTTGATAAGTATTTATATTTAAAGATTTTTTTAGGGATCCCTGGGTGGCGCAGCGGTTTGGCGACTGCCTTTGGCCCAGGGCGCGATCCTGGAGACCCGGGATCGAATCCCACGTCGGGCTCCCGGTGCATGGAGCCTGCTTCTCCCTCTGCCTGTGTCTCTGCCTCTCTCTCTCTCTCTCTGACTATCATAAATAAATAAAATTTAAAAAAAAAAAAAAGATTTTTTTAAAAAAAGATTTTACTTATTCATGAGAGACACAGAGAGAGAGAGAGAGAGGCAGAGACACAGGTAGAGGGAGAAGCAGGCTCTACGCAGGGAGCCCGATGTGGGACTTGATCCTGGGACTCCAGGACCACGCCCTGGGCCAAAGGCAGGTGCTAAACCACTGAGCCACCCAGGGATCCCCATATTTAAAGATTTTTTTTTTAAAGATTTGACCCAAAGTATTTTTGACCTGTTTGTGACTTGACATTTTTGCCACAGTTTTTACTCCATTCACTATTATGATTTTATTTAGAAAAACATTTCCTATTTTAGATTTACTAAGAAAGATGATTCTGTGGTAGAATAACTTTTCCCTAGATAGCTTCAGGAAGCTGCTATGGAATCATGTGATTAATAGAAGTGTTTTGTACTTTGGCCTCATGTGGCTTCACTTGGGAAGATACTACAGTAAAACAAATGCAACCAGTGGTGTTGCTCTAATATAGTATCTCACATTTTCATAGGCCAAGTACTGGCATGTTAATAAAATGTTCATGTCCTTCCTTACTCTTGTTTATGGATTTTTTTTTTCCCTTCAGGATGGGAGGAAAGACTTTTAAAAGAGGGAAGCAGGCTGAGGGGTTGTGTTGAGGGCAGATCTGGTTGTATGTTTAAAGCTTCCAGTGCTTTCTGGCTCTTTTTGCATGTGATTTAAATGGCTGATAGAATTACAAGTTTGTTTCTGACCTTAGCTTGCTAGAGAAAGTAAATTATACTTGAATGTTCACCTGCAGAAAAACAATGTGGTCATTATAATCATTAGAAGAAGAATGTGCCAGGAATATTTTTCTTGGACTATTTGTTGGATGTGCCACCAGCCTCTTTCACCTCACAGATTTGTAGTGTGGTTGCGTTAGAAGAGGGGATCTTAGGAGTCCGTTCCAACCCCCTCATTTGAAGGAACCCAGAGAAACCGTGTAGCTTGTTCAAGAACATAGGGCTGGTTGGTGGCAGGCTGAGACTGGAACCTCTTCATGCCCAATCCAGTGCTTTTTCTCTAGACAGTGGTACTGAGCATGTAATGAGCATCTAAATGTTTTCATTGTTTTTTCTCCCATCTTTTGTTTTTCTGTCTTATTGTGAAATATTCAACCATTTCAGAAATAGGATTTAGAAAGTGCAAGTGTCTTAAGTATCTTAGAACTAAGTGTTACTAACTCTAATACCGTGCTGTGTATTCACTCCTATTTTATCCTGTGCATTTACTACATTTGTTATTTTATAAAAAATGGAATCATTTACACACATTACTCTTTATGTTACTTACTAGGAGATCTTTCCATGTTAGTGCAAATATATGTGGCTCATTTTTTTGTAATAGCTTTATAATTACAGTAGGACTATAACATATTTAACTAGTTCCTATTAGATATTTGAATTTATTTCATTTTTTTTCCTAATACAAAATCCATGGTTGTATGACATTTTTTAAACCTGAAATGAAGTTAATGATGTAGGAGAAAGTCTTGGAATCAGATGTGGACTCTTCTTGCTGCAAGAGACTGAATAATCTGATACTTTTTGGCAAGTCTCCTACCTCTCTTCAATTTCTTCCCCTTATGAGACAAAGGGGTTAGACTTTATCATTTCCTGGGGCTCTTCTTCACGAAAACTTAGAGGAGCTCTGGATTCAGTACCATAGCATTCTGAAATGAGAGTATATTATACATGTATAGAGGTTATCCTGCTTCTAAGATTCTCTTACTGAAAGTGGATAGTATGGACTCTGTGATGTGTTTCAGAGCCCTCTCATCGCCGTAAGCCTTCATGGGCTAGAGAAGTTCACGGTAGAATTGGGAGATCAATTTGTATTGACTTTCCAGTTATCCAACTGTTTACATTTTTCCCATTTTTAGATTGTGTTAACGGAAATGTACTATGATGGGTTCCATCGTTCCTTTTGTGATACAGACGACCTGGAAACAGTCCATGAAAGCGACTGCATTTTTGCCTTTGAGACTCCAGAAATATTTAGGCCTGAAGGAATTCTCAGTCAAAGAGGTAAATGAGCATCTGTTTCCATAAGGGTTTTCAGGTTTCACAACTGTCTACCCTTTGAGACGCTATTATATGATGGCATAGTTTTTTAAAATTATGGTAAAATACACATAATATTTATTTTTGTGATGGCATAAATTTTATGGTAACATTCTCTGGAAGAAGGCAGTTCTCACTGTTTCAGGCAAGGATATTTCCTTAGTTTCTAATCTTTCCTGCCCACAGTTGGAGCAGCCCCTGTCTGAGGCTCAAACCTGATTGAATCCTCCTTAAGTGGCTTCTTAAGCATCTTTTAACAGTATTTGGGAGGATGCATGATGCCATAGTGGCTTTTTTCTTTTTCTTTTTCTTTTTTTCTTTTTTGCATTTTGTTATCTGCTCTGATGCTTAATTTCTAAACTCTAACTCTTTGCTATAGAATGTTTTTTGATACCTTGCTTTTAAGGAATTTGCATCAAGGCAGCAAAAGAGAGTAAGGACTCTGTTCCTTTTCCTGTGGTTTGGGCTGTGATTTGGAACTTAGCCTATCTCTCTCTCTACTGTGCTTGGAGGATCTGGGGGCTATTTCTGATTTTGAAAGTTGCTAGGCCACTCCAGCTTTGTTCCTGGCCTTAGTGTTCTTCATGGTTCTGGGGCCTCTGTTCTTTTTCTCTACTCCAGTTGTTATTAAAGCATGAGAGGCACCTGGGAACTGATTAGAAATGCAGATTCCTGGACCCCACTCCAGGCCCACTGAACGAGTGGCTCGGGGATGGGGCCCAGCATGCTGTTTTTCACAGGTGATTCTAATGCACACCAAAGTTCAAGAACTGCTGAACTGAGAACCCAGGCTCAACAATGTCTTTCTACTGCCATGATTTTTAGAACTGAAACCTCCCTGCTCATTCTGTCTTTTCTTATGCTTCCATTCCCTTTTAACTGTCTGTTGAAATCTGCATACAAGTCCTGCATCATCTTAATACTTAACATATCTTAATACCCAGCATTTCTTAGACCCAATCCTTCTGTGTTTCTTCTCTGGAATCATGATGCCACCATCCTTCTCTTCACCCAAGGTGAACCCAAGCACTTCTCCCTCCAAATTCACGTAGAACTTATTAAACACTATACAGTTTTCCTCCTCGTCCTCTTGCCACTGATACAGCTCAGACCAGCCTCAACTGGGCTTTTCTAGTAACTTCTCTAGTAATAGCTTTACCCGTAAGCTTTCTTCTGTTCAGTTACTTTTGGTGAAATAATGGTGCCGCCAGACTTACTTGGATATATATTCTGATTTTATTACATTCTTATTGAATTGCCAGTGTTTCCCCCTTTGTCTGAGATTATATCTCAGCACCTTAGAAGAATGTATGTCCTGCCATGGTTGGTCTTTACCTTTCTTTCCAGTCTCTTTACTATATTCTGTCTCCTTGTCCACATATCCCATCTCGGTTACTCTGTATGTCTCGAATGCCATGTACTTTTATACGTTTGGTTTGCTCTGTTGAGAATTCATTTCTCCAGTTCCTTTCTCAGCTCCTACTTTGTCTCCTCTACACACACCTCCCTGTAGTCTCCCCGTCCCACCCAGTTCTAAACAACCACTCTTCTACTCTCCATCTCTGTAGACTAGTCTAAACTTTCATGTGAACAGAATTGTATAATACATGGCCTCTTGTGACTTGCTTCTTTCACTTAGCATAATGTTTCAGGGTTCATCCCTGTTGTAGTGTGTATTAGTCCTACAGTCCTTTTTATGGCTGAATAGTATTTCATTGTATGTATACACCATGTTTGGTTTATCAATTTATCTGTTGATGGACATTTGGGTTATTTCCCCATTATGGAATAGTGCTGTTATGACTATTTGTGTTTGTTTGAATACCTGTTTTCAGTTTTTTTGGGATACACACACATCTATGAGTGGAAACACTAGGTCATGGTAATTCTGTGTTTAATCTTTTGAGGAATTGTTAAACTGTTTTCTACAACAGGTGAATAATTTTTTATCCCACCAATATGTGTGGATTATAATTTTTCCACATTCTTGCTAACGTTTTTTATTTTCCATCTTTTTTATTATAGCCATCCTAGTGGGTGTGAAGTGATGTGTTATTGTTCTTGTATTTGCATTTATTCATGCATTGTGTTTGGATGATAAATGATGTTGGATCATCTTTTCATGTGCTTGTTGGAAATTTGTTTATCCTCTATGGAGAAATATCTATTCAAATTTTTTCCCTATTTTTAAATTTAAAAATTTTTTCTTGTTATTGAGTTATAAGAACTCTTTATATATGGTAGACTGATTCTAGACCCTTATCAGATATCTGACTTGCAAATATTTTCTCCTATTCTGTAGATTGCCTTTTCACTTTCTTGATAGTGACTTCTGATGCACAAAAGTTCTTATTTTTTTTATTTATTATTATTTTTTTATAAAGTTCTTAGTTTTTTTTTTTTTTTAAAGTTCTTAGTTTTGAAGTCTGATTTTTTGTTGCTTATGCTTTTGGTGTCATATCCAGGACCATGAAGCTTACCCCTGTGTTTACTTCTAAGAGTTCTGAAGCTTTAGCTCTTACATTTAGATCTTTGCACCATTTTGAGTTAATTTTTGTATATGGTTTGAGGTGGTGGTCTACCTGCATTTTTTTGTTGTATGTAAATAGTCAGTACTCCTAGCACCATTTGCTGGAGAGACCATTCTTTCTGCTTTGAATGATCTTGGTGCCCTTATTTTGTAAGTCCTTAATTTAGTTCCTCCTTTTCTCCACCACCTACTTCCGGAGATGCCCCAGTTTCTGAACTTTTTGGTAATTCTTTATGTTGGGTTGGTCAGCTTTCTCCACTGCCAGACTAAGATTCAGTTATCTCTGGTATATCCATATTTACATTACTATTTTCTAGGTAGTTTGTTATTTTAGCTTTAATTTTTTTTGACCTAGCAGCTCTTTTTTTTTTCCCAGTTGCATTTTCATGCGTGTGCTTTGTTTGCTGAAATTGTTTTCTGCTTTTAACTATATTACAGTAAAAAACTCCATTATCACCTTCTCCAGCAAGCTCTTCCTCACTTCCCCCACGTCAGGCTGGCTGCCTTCCTCTTGTTCCAGTCATGTCTTCTGCTAATCTCTGACAGCAGCACATTGTGTGTACTTCTCTTGTCCTTCTACTACGCTGTGAAATTCTTTGCGGTTGGGGCTATGTTTTGTTTTATCTTTTATACCCCAGCAGTTCAGTATAGTTCCTAATGCACAATAAGAGCCCAATTAATGTCCATTCAACTGAAAATTTGCCCAAATCCCTTTGTGCACCCCTGTTAGTGTGAAGAGTTAACACTTTCTGTTTTTGTTTTTTTAAAAGAATTTGAGCTCTTTTTTTTTTTTTTTTAAAGATTTTATTTATTCATGAGAAAGGCAGAGACAAAGGCAGAGGGAGAAGCAAGCTCCATTCAGAGAGCCCAACGTGGGATTCGATCCCGGGTCTCCAGGGTCATGCCCTGGGCTAAAGGCAGCGCTAAACTGCTGAACCACCCAGGTTGCCCTAAGTTTCTGTTTTTAAGTGAATTTGGTGAGGTCCAAGGTTGTCATCTACCAGCCAGAGAATGCCCCTGTCAGAAGACTGACCATACCACTTACTAAGTATTAGCCTCTGTTCTAAGCCTTGTAAATGAATTACTTGAGATTTATGATGCTGCTGCCTTCCCCACTTTACACATGAGGGAGCTAAGACTTGGGGAAGTTGAGTAACCATCCCAGTCATGCAGCTGGTAGTAAGTGGGTGTGCTTTTTGAACACAGAGCTTGATTTCTGTGCAGTTGAGTGGTACCCCCTCTTCTCATTAGGGACCCTCATCACTTTAGAACACGTCTTACCAGCCTTCTGCAAAAGAGCTAGGAAATGAAGTCAGGTCGTTCATTGTCTCAAATTCAAAATCCTCTTATTTTTATTTTCTCATACCAAAGTTTAAAGTGACTGTGAAGTGAAATCTGTTCTTCCTTTTGTAATTTGTTTTTGGTGTTTTAGTTTAAATTTTTTTCTTCTCTCTAATAGCCTGATGAAGATTCCATTTTTTCTTTTTTCTAGTTTCTATATACTTTTTTTTTAAACTCGAATTCTTCTGAAATTTATTTTTATATTAATCACATACTGGTCATTTTAAATTGCTGTAATGCTGATGTCCTTAATAGGTTTGGCAAATCTCATATTGATGGATTTTTAGTTTATTGCCAAAATACTGCTATGAATACTTTTGTTTTTGTACAAGCCACTTTTTATTTTATTCTTCTTTTCTTATTGTTGTTCTTATTTGTGTGTTGTGCTTATTTTTTTTGTGTGTGTGGTGATGGTGGCAGTGGAGGGCTTTTTCTTCTTCTTCTTCTTCTTCTCTGCTGATTGATGTGGGGTTCCATCCCAGGACCCCAAGATCATGGACCCCAAGAGAATATATCTGCAAGTTATATTAAGTTATATTAAGCTGGATGCTTGACTGACTGAGCCACCTAGGTGTACTGGAGGGCTATCTTCTTTTTTTTTTATAAATTTATTTTTTATTGGTGTTCAATTTGCCAACATATAGAATTAATAATACCCAGTGCTCATCCCATCAAGTGCCCCCCTCAGTGCCCATCACCCAGTCACCCCTAGTTCGTTTCCCAGAGTTAGGAGTCTCTCATGTTCTGTCTCCCTCCCTGATATTTCTGGAGGGCTATCTTCTATTTATAAGTTGGGGTATGATTTCCTTAGGCTGTACTTGGAGAGGATTAAAGAAGTGAACAAATATTTTAATTTAATTTTATTATTTTTTATTGAAATGAAATTGACATATAACATGTTAGTTTCAGGGATACAACATAATGATTCAGTTTTTATATTGCTGCAAAACGATCATCATGGGAAGTCTAGTTAACATCTATCTCCGTATAGTTACAAACATTTTTTTATTATAAGGACTTTTAAGATCTGCTTTCTTAGCAACATTCAAATATACAATACAGTATTATTAATAACTATAGTCACTATGTTGTGCATTACATCTCATTACTTATTTTATAGCTGGAAGTTCGAACTTTTTGATCCCCTTTCATTGATTTTGCTGACACTCTACCCTCCTGCAACCACTAATCTGTTTTCTGTCTATGTGAGCTTGGTTTTGTTCTTAAATTCCACATATAAGTGAGATCATACAGTATTTGTCTTTGTCTGAATTCTTTCACTTAGCATAAAGCCCTCAGGGTCCATCCATGTTGTTGCAAATGGCAAGATTTCGTTCTTTTTTTTTATGGCTGAATAGTATTCTGTCGAAATGAACAATTGTTTAATAAAGCACTTACTGAGTTTCTACTAAGTACAGGGCATTGTACTAGGTGCTGAATTGCTGAGTAGCTCTGATTGACAGCACTGCTTTCGGGCATTTCTGAAGACCTGATTTTCAACAACCTGTTTCATGCCCACCAGTCATATATTTTTGTTCACTTAAATGTAGGTCCATCCAGTGTGGTTGATTTTATTAAGGGTGACATGCCCTATAATGACTATGAATCTAGTAAGTGTGGTTTATCTTTTGTTTCTAATAAGTCTGGCTCTTTAGGGAGAAAAAACTACAGTTACAATATTGAAGATCATTCCACATTTACTAGTCTTATTTTTTTTAAAATTTATTTAGTTGCTGGTTGTATGGTCTCACCCTAAATTTGTCTTGGTGAATCATCTCTGCAAATTTGCTCTTCTAAAACTGTATCCAATATTTACTCAAGTGAAGAGTTTTTTTTTTTTTTTTTTAAAGATTTATTTATTTGAGAGAGAGAGAGAGAGTGTGTGAGTACCGGAAAGAGGCAGAGGGAGACAGACCGAGAATCCTCAAGCAGACTCCCCACCAAGTGTGGATCCCAGGACCCCGAGATTATGACCTAAACTGAAATCAAGAATCATATGCTCAATTGACTGAGCCACCTCAGTGCCCTCAAGTGAACAGTTTTAAATTTCAGTTTTCAAGACCTAAAGCTAATTTAAAGGAAACGATGATGCTTAGATTATTTTAATGGTGGCTCAGTTGGTTAAGTCTCTGACTCTTGATCTCAGCTTAGGTCTTAATCTCAGGGTTGTGAGTTTAGGCCCCACTTGGGCTCCACGCTGGATGTGGAGTCTACTTGAAAATGAAATTTAAAAAAAGTTATTTTAATGGCTAGATGCATTATCTCAAAGTAGATCATTTGGTTTCTTTTTTGATTATAGTTTAAATTACATGATGCAACTTCTTAATTTCTCTTTTGGGTAAATTTCTTTGTAATGAATGAAAAAAAGAATTTTGAATTCTTGAATAAGTTGTTTTTTATTTTTTTATTTTTCCAGGAATCCACTTAAACAACAATCTAAATCACTTGAAATTTGGATTGGATCATCATCGACTGTCTTCTACACAAGCATCAGCAAAGCAAGGGAAAACAGACTTGCCCCCAACAAGAGCAGGAAGCGACAAGATTGTTCTATTAGTGTGTAACCGAGCCTGCACTGGGCAGCAAGGGAAGAGGTAAAAACCAGATTACCAATAAGTGCTGAAACTGTAAAAGTCTAATATTTTCAAACATTTAAAAATGTGGGCATGAAAACCCCTTACTTTTATTAATTTTTGATTATGATATTTAGAAAAAATATACGTATAAGTTGACCTGATTTGAGGAGTTGAGAAGGGGAGAATATAAAATTAGAATGATAGAATCTGAATTAGAAAGGTTTTTCAAGCTCATCTAGTTGTTAAAGGCTCGATGGATGTATTTATTTTTAGTTTTTTAGTTCAGGTTCCTCGTGGGGCCTTCAGGCCTATATCCAGCTACTTTCTTAACAGCTTTTTTTTTTTTTTTAATTCTTAACATATCTTGTTGGATGGTATATGCACCTCAGTCTTATTTTCCAAACTGAACAGACTCTCATTCCCTGTAAATCTGGTCTTCCAGTATTTCCTCTCTCAGCAAATGGCACCACTCTATTCATTCAGCTGCTTAAGTCAGAAATTTGGGAGTCACATATCTCTCTCAAGTGTTTCCTGCTTAAGAATTGTTGGGACTTTTAGACTGTGTTTTAAAGCAGCCCTATCACAATAGTAATGTAACCTGAGTAATCACGAGATATGGGTATGTTTCAGGGACAAAGGACTCTGTTTCTCGTGTTTGTCAGGGTAACATTTTATTATCCTTTTCAAATGTTGATTTGAGATAACTTCCTCATTTAATAATGGTTAAATAACAACGGCAAAATGTGTTGATTTGTATATTTATGATATTTGTTAACCAATACTTGGGTGTTTACAGTGTCAGGCACTATTCCAACACTGGGGATAGAGCTGTGAAGGAGACAGGCTGTGTTCTTGTGGAGCTTAGACAGACTGGCCGTATACAAGTGTCTTTACTAGGCTGGTTTGATAGAGTGTGCTGGTCAGGGGTGTAGCCAGGCTGCACCAAAGAGGGGGATGGGGAAATCCACCCGAGGAAGTAGCATACCGCTGAGGAGACAGTGTGAGTGATGGGAACCTCTGGGGAAAAGGATCTGTAATGAGACAACATGAGTACAAAGACCCTAAGACTAAGAGGAGCTTGGCATGTTTAAAAGGGGCAGAAAGAAAGGCAGCTCAGCGCATTGATAAAAACTAAAGAACTGGGCAGCCCTGGTGGCGCAGCGGTTTAGCGCCGCCTGCAGCCCAGGGTGTGATCCTGGAAACCCTGGATCGAGTCCCATGTTGGGCTCTCTGTATGAAGCCTGCTTCTTAACCTCTGCCTGTGTCTCTGCCTCCCTCTCTCTCTGTCTCAATAAATAAATAAATAAAATCTTTAAAAAAAACCAAAAAAACAAACTAAACTTGTGGAGTCCCTTTTGTGATGCCCTTCTCTTACAAGTGAAGACATGACCGTGTGAAAAACAGGAGTGGCTGATTTATACACACTTGTAATTTCTTTCACATCACAGTACTGTATGTGGAGGGCCTGCCATGTGTGGAGGATTGCTATGTGTGGAAGACCTGCCGTGTATGGAGGACTGTTGTGTGTACGGAGGCTGTTAGAAACAGCTCTCCTGGTCTGAGAGCCTCTGTTTCAGCCTGAGTCAGGGTTTCAAACTCTTGGCTTGTTCATTCATTCATTAAGCATTTATTGATTTCTAGGCATTGGCTCTTTGGGTTACTGTGATAAATAAATCACAGTTCTTGCTATCAGATAACTCTGTCTACTGGTGGAGGCAGGAAGATAGAGGGTACTTGTAGCACCATGGCCCAGATAGCCCAGGGAACAAATCAATAGGGTACTTCCTGGAGAAGAATCCCTCTGCAGGGTCTTGATGTGGTGAAGGGGAGATAGCCTAGAGGCAGGGCGGGAGGGGTGTCCTAAAGCTGAGGGAGTTGGCTTCACGGAGAGTGGGTAGGACACGTGTAAGGCACAAAGAGTAGGTCTGAACAGCCTGGCTGCATATCACAACCACTTCTGATGGTGGGGTTCCTCAGCAAATCTCAGTGCTCCCGCCACATACCACCGTGATTACAACAGACTCTTGGAGGGCTGCACTTGGGCGTCATGGTTTTTGTTGTTGTTTTAAGATTGTATTTATTTATTCATGAGAGACAGAGAGAGAGAGAGGCAGAGACATAAGCAGAGGGAGAAGCAGGCTTCCTGTGGGGAACCCAATGCGGGACTCAATTCTGGGCCCCCGGGATCATGCCCTGAGCCAAAGGCAGGCACTCAACCACTGAGCCGCCCAGGTGCCCTTGGACATCTTGGTGTTTTAAAGCTGCCTTGGTAATCTTAGTGTACAGCCAGAGCAGAGAACTGTGGCCCTGCCTCTGATTCTCTAACTCCTGGGGGCCCAGCATGGGCAGGAGCCTCATAGCTTCTACCCTAGGCTGGCAGCTGACTTTTACTGTGACTTGCTTGCCAGTGCCTTCCTTGTCAGACTACCAGGGTAATGCTGTCTTGCATTTCAGACCTTCCAGCCCTGTCTATTCCTCTAGCACCCAACCCGTTCTTTGTAGACCCATGCTGTTTGCTAGACTATGTCCACTTCCGTCTTCTTTCCTCACTGTATTCATTGATCCTGTCCTCTTGCTATATGTAGTATCCCCTAGTCGCCATTTTAGCACATGAACTATTAAATTTCATTTAGCAATCTAAGCTTCTCTTCTGACTTTTTCATCCACTTATGAAAATAACTATTAAATTTCCTATTTTGAGAACCATCCTAAACCCAATAATGTAGTTGTTCCATTTTAAGAAATCATAAATAAAAAATTACAGCATTAAAGGGATGGCCATACTTTTAAGGTGATTGCAATATTTATCTGTGTTAGGTTTGGACTGCCTTTTGTTCTGCACTTAGAGAAGACAATAGCATGGGACCTTCTGCAGAAGGAGATCTTGGAGAAGATGAAGTATTTCTTGAGGCCCACAGTTTGCATTCAGGTGGGTAAGCGTTTTGACACTTTAGCATAGCATGGGTGCATACCCAGTGAAGGAATAGTCACTGTGATGAAATTTGAATTTTGGACCCCTGTGCTTAGGGAAGACTAGGCACGGATTTGGGATGTTGAGGAGCCCTGGTGGAAAGCTGTTTGATAAAATCAGCTGTGTTCAGATTTTCAAGACTAAGGACTTAATTCCTCATTTTCTGGCCATTGCAAGAATTTCCTTGAACTGCTAGGTATTTCCTTATAATACATATTTATTGTTAAAGATTAGCACATGATTAGCTGTGTATTTTCAAAATTAGGAGTACTATATTAAGGTATCCGTGAAGACTTATATTAAGTTAATGTTCAGCCTAAAGCAGCATATTACTTGTCCTGCATAACATATTTGATATGTGAGTTGCACTTAGATAAATCATCTTTAAAGTGTATAATAGTGGCTCAGCAACGTAACAGAACATGAGAAGTTTTGCAAAACCATTTGCTGTCCTTCTAATCTGTTTTGGAAAAGCCACTGTGACGCACATGGCCTTGAAGAGAAACTCAGCCACATTTTCCTTTATTGTTTGATTGCAGGTGTGTCCATTCAGTTTGCGTGTTGTTAGTGTTGTGGGGATAACATACTTGCTGCCCCAGGAGGAGCAGCCGCTGTGCCACCCAACAGTAGAAAGGTAAAAATCAGTAACTCACCTTCCAGAATTTTATTTATGCTCCTGTGTATTTTCTAGTGATGTCTGGTATAATTTTCACCTAAGTGTGGTAGGCTCCTTAGGCTTGTTTAGATGTACTTATTTTACTTTTCATTCATATTTGAATATGATATGTACGATCTTTTTTTAAAATCAGAAAAGCCTGGAGTACTCCTGTCAGGAAAGCAAATTAAAGCATGTCCCAGGACTACAGATAAATTACACTTCCATATTTAATCAAGATGGAAGTTTTCCAAAGTAGAGTTCTCATCATGCAACTTTCCTCCTGGAAATCTTAAATGGTAACCTGTGGCCTAAAAGATAAAACCCAGACTTCCACGGTCTATGAAGCTCTACACAGTTTGAACCCTGCTTGCTTCCCATTTGTCAGGTCCCGCTCTTCTTCTCTAAACCTTCAGCAGCATCAGAGCATGAGGATTGTTGGAATGTGTGGCACAGCTTTGTGTGTGCCTTTGCACATGTGGTGTCATTTGTTGATCATTCTGTTCCTCCTGACCCTCAGTAGACAGTCACTTCACTCTGCTACCTCTGTGCTTTCTACATGCTTCTGACACCCTACTGTATTAATAAAACAATACAAATGTGTGTGTATATGTACACAATACATATATGGACACATAAATACAAAAGCTCACGTTGTTTTTATTATAATTTATAACAAATATTATAGTTTCTTCATTTTAGGATTCCAAAATATATATATACATACATACACATATAACCTGGTTCTGTTTGAAAGCAGTTTATGTTTGGTTTTAGAGACGAGTTTTTTGTTTTTTGTTTTAAGATTTTATTTATTCATGAGAGACACACAGAGAGAGAGAGGCAGAGACACAGGCAGAGGGAGAAGCAGGCTCCATGCAGGGAGCCTGATGTGGGACTTGATCCTGGGTCTCCAGGATCAGGCCCTAGGCTGAAGACAGCACTAAACCACTGAGCCACCAGGGCTACCCGAGACAAGAGTTAAGAGATTAGGTTATCCAGAATACTGCAAAGCATAACAAATCCTAGATGGGTAATTAATATTGACTAGTAATGCTGAAGAGTTTCTCAGAAGATGGTAATAAGACAGGGAGCTTAGGGGGAGGACTTTATAAAGGACAGAGATGGAACTTAAGAGGTACCTTACAGGAAGTTCAGTTTAGATTGGCGTGGGCACAGTCCAAGGGCCAGGCATGGTTTACCGGAGAGGAGAAATGCAGGAGCAGACTTTGTTCCCAGAGGAACTATCATCCGGTTTCTATTTGGGTTGGTGAGAAATGAGACAAAAAGTTGGAAAGGTCATAAAGAACATCTAAAAGTGATTGTGCACAGCCTTATAACATGTGGCTGATTTCTTCTAATCTATTTATTTCTATACTGGACATTTTAATTTAAGGATTTTTTTGTCCAATTGTAACCTAGTTATTCTAAATATGAGTATCATTACGGTCTCTCCAGAAACCTTTCCTGATGAGGAACGATGATGAAGATTTTCAGTAGTCCTGTTATGATATCAAATTGCAGGTAATCACATAAGTAAAATTTATTTAGAACATAATATGTCACTTCCCTCTCCATCCTCTAGGGCATTAAAATCTTGTGGACCAGGTGGCACTGCACATGTGAAGTTAGTGGTAGAATGGGACAAGGAAACAAAAGACTTGTGAGTATTTTTTTATTTAGTGCTTATAGAATCATTGTTTTAATTATCATTTTAATAGCATCCCTTTGATCTTTCAGATTAGCTGAAACAAATCTCTCTTTAAGTATCCAAATGAGTTGCTAATCTTTTATTTAACTGGTTATTTCTTTCCTATACATTCTGTTGTCCAGATCTCAAAGACCTCAAAACATTTGTTTGCTGCTATCAGAACTATTTATTTATCCCTGTACAGGGCCAATTACTTTTTTTTTAGAGAGGAAACTGGGAGAGAGGGAGAGAGAGAGAATCTTAAGCAGGCTCCACACTGGGTGGAGGGCTTGATCTCATGACTCGAGATCATGACCTAAACTGAAATCAAGAGTTGGATGCTTAACCAACTGAGCCACCCAGGCACCCCTTTGATTTTTATTGTAGGCCTATTAACTCTAGTAAATTACACCAAATGCATATACCCTTATATACAAAGGACAAGGATCTATGAATTAACAGTTCATGGCCAAGCCCATGAAAGAAATAATAAAGTTATTTCTTGAAAATAACTTTACAGATACAGAACTTTTCAAGCATATTTTGGAACACAGAATAGTTGCATGACCAGCTGAATAACCTGTTGGTGTCATTACACATTGGTTCTTTTTGGTTTATAAATTTATAGTCACATTGTAAAGCTGCAGTTTTTGGGTCAGTTTTGCAAGACATTCTCTGATGAATACCTGCCTTCCCCCCATTGCAGCTTATTTGTAAATACTGAAGATGAGTATATTCCTGATGCAGAAAGTGTCCGTCTGCAGAGGGAGCGTCATCATCAGCCTCAGACTTGCACTTTATCCCAGTGTTTCCAGCTCTACACCAAAGAGGAGCGGGTAAGAGCCCAGCAGCACTTCTTGGGTGGTGAGGGTAGCAGGGAGGGAATTGTGGTAGGATGATACCAGAGAAGCAAATTATGCGCCAGAAAAGTCCCCAGACGTACTACACTCCTGTAAGTTCTGCACACATAATGGGCATCTAAGTGCTGTCCCTTTAATGACTTTAACATAAAGTCATATAGATTATTAGAAAACCTTGATTGAAATGCTCTAGAAGTGAACCTTTGTAGTTAATTTTTTCTTTTCTTTTGAACAACGCTTTTTTTTGTTGTTGTTTCCATTTGGAGATTTTAAATCATTTGCCTTAGTAACCAGAGTAGTGATTCTTAATTTTTTGGTACTAAGATCATAAGTACCAGGACCTATTTAAATTTAAACTTAAATTAATTAAATTAATTAAAATTAAAAGTTCACTTCCTTAGCTGCTTTAGTCACATTTGGAGTGCTCAGTGCAGGTATACATAGAAAATTCTATCAGACAGCATGGTTTGGACCACTTAGCACAGTGCTTTGCAGATAGTAGGGACTCCGTAAGTATTTGAATGGAAGAATAGACAGATACATGGATGAATAAGTCTTTGTGGATGGGATCAAGGCCTGTGTAGTTTTTAAAACTTTCCAAGTTTATACACCTTGAGCAGCCTTGACTAGAGCACTTGAGTGTTCAGCTAATCTTGAGTTGATGTTTAGGATCATAATTTTGACCACTAATTGTTACTGCGCACATTTATATGTAGTGAACCCTGCAATTTCATGGTTGGAGGGGACTTTAAAACTCCTTTTTTCTAATGGTTGAGTTCTTCTATCAGATTCCAAATAGGTGATTGTCCAGCCACTGTTTGAATACCTTAGTTATGAGGCATTAGTCTCTATTCGAGGCACACCATTTCATCTCTGGATATCTCTAATGGTCACTGAGGCTGCCCTTCGTGAAATATGCCCGAGGCTACTACAACCAACAGGTGTTCTCTCTCCTGAGTTCGTTAAGGATTCTTGAGGACTAGTCTTTTTTTTTTTTTTTTTTTTTTTTTTTTGAGGACAAGTCTTAATTGTCTTCCACTTGTCTACCCTTTAATTATTTGAAAATACTTTTAATATTTTAATAGAGTCCTTTTCCCCCAAGCTGTTCATAGCTAGTTCCTTTAATAATAGTTTTTCATAAGATCTTTTTTTTTTTTTCCCCCAGTTTGGGGCCTAATTATAAAATAGTTGACTTTAAAACAGGTTGATGGCAGACTGTGTGGTACCTTGTCCTATTTTGGGCTTTTTTTTTGGTTGAGGAGGGGATGTTTGAGAATGTTACAAAGCTTAAAACTGAGCAGATCTACTAGATGACAATATTTGTATTCCACAAAACATCTCACTGATTTAGAAGGAGGAGTTCAAGCTGGCAAGATATATTTTAGTAGGGATTCATTCATTCAGTAAATGTTCATTGAGTATATACTATGCGCTAGGTACTACCCATGGTACTGCAGATATAACAGGGACCAAGCCAGGCAGTGTTTCTGCCTTTGGGCTAATTATAGTCTAGTGGGGATAAATAAGTAAATCAAAGAAGGAACCTACTGTGGTTGAGAAACAGGAGTGAGGCCAATGTGGCTGGAACACAGGGATAAGGGAGAGAGTTGTGACAGTCTGTCCTGGTCATAAAATAACCCTAGCATCTATAAGCAGTGCCTGGCACAGAGAAAGCATTCAGTAAATACATATTAGAATGAATGAATTAATGAGTATTACTTGGGTAGTAGAGGTATGGAGGAGGGATTTAGGGAGTTAGGGATTTAGCCGCAGACCGTAAGATGGTTAACTTTGAGTTTAGGTATCTGCAAGCTCAGTATTGATCTGCAGTGTCATGTGTCAGCCACTATCAGCTGCTGCCTTAAGGATGCTTTAAAACAGGTTCCAGAATTCAGATGGTGATAGCACTGCTTTTTTCATTACCTAAGTGTTCATGGTTAAGAGACTGACAAACCGGGGCATGAGACAGTGGCTAGGGGATGGTGCATCTGGAAACCATAACATGCTGAATTGACAGAGGAGGCCTTAAGTGGAGATCTGATAGTTATTTTTAGGCACTTTAAGGACTGTCTATGGATGAGGGATTGGACTTAATTCTATCTAAAAAGCAGAACTTAAGGATTGAAAATTACAGGGAGAATGAATTTGTCTTAATATGAGGAAGAACTCTGACAGACCTTCTGAAAACGAAAAAGCTGCCTACTGAGACAGCCGCCTCTCGTTTGCTAGGCAGTTAGCTAGACCAGTGATGCTCCGAGTATGGTCTGCAGGTCTAGGAGCTCTTTGTAGCACCTTACAGTGTGATAATACAGAAATGAGAGATATTTTAAAAACTGCTATAGCTGTTATACATTGTCAGGACATTCTCATTGTATCTTATAAAAGTATCTGTATTAGAAATTAAAACAAATAACAACCTGGCCCTTTACCACAAGCCCTGGGCTGCATGGCCACATATGGAGACTATAAATATGTCACTCAGAGGTGCAGCGTAACAGTGTAGGGTAACAGTGTAGGTCCCTGCCAGTCTAAGTGTCTGAGTCATTTCCACCCACCCAAACTTGTTTTTCTCCCCATATTTCTTACAAACATGATTGGATCTCCCTGTATGAAAAAAAAATCCCCTCAGTTCTGCTTCCCTTTCCAGTGAGCCATGCCTGCCTTTCTCCTCCTCCTTTCTGCCTCATTCTCCTTTAGTGGTTTCAGCTCCTTCCTTCCCACCATCTCACTTGCACTTCTGACTCTGCTCTCTGAAATTCTCGATGGCCCCTGGTTTGCTCGCTTCTGTGGCATTTGCTCCGTCTCCATTTGACCTCTCTAGGATCTTGCCATTATCTCTCCTTGGTGTGCATAAAAGGGAATGCTTCTGGCTTGCCTGTTTTTCTGACTATGCATCCTCAGACTCTGGTGGTTTCTCAGCTTTAGTATTTCTTTTAGAAAAAGGCATTCCTCAAGATTCTGTTCTTGACTTCTGTCTGTTCCATCTCAGTGGGCATTGATTGTCATCCATCCCATGGTTTCCTTACTTCATCATGTTCATGGTCCCAGATCTGATACCTCTTCTAAACTCCAGAGGAGATTTAAATCTCTCACCAGACATGCCTCATGGGCACCTCTAACTGAATATTTCCCCATCCTGAAGAGATGACATGTGGACCTGAAGCCTCAGATTAATGTTCAGAAAGACCTTATTGATAGCAGGAGTAGGGAGGATTGATTGGAGTCGTTCAGTGCTTGGGAGAGAGAGATCAGTTAGGAGACTCGCAGAAGTCCAGGTAAGAGCCTGGGTGAGGACTTTGAGTGAAGGCCATGTTAGTGGGAATGGAGTAGAGGAGACAGGTGTGAGACATGGCAGAGACAATTACTTTGGGTAGATGTGGGGCAGGGGGAAGAGGGAAGGGTTTGAGGGTTTGCAATACCTGCCCTCTGCCCCTGCCGCTGGTGCTGCTTTTAGTGGGTGGCAGAGGTGGTTGCAATTGTAGGACATAGAAGAAGAGAAAGAGGAAGTATATTGATGGAAAGGCAACAGGTTCAGTTCAGGAGTTTGTGGAATTTGAGGTTCTTCTGTAACATTGAACATCCTCTGTATAATATTGGCCTGTTAGTCATCCCTTTTTGAGGGAGAATATATTCAGCTCTGGCCAAGTGCCTCTTGTGATTGTGTTTTTCCATTGACTCCCCCATCAAATGTGGTTTCCAGAGAGATTCTGAGTTGTACCATGCCCTGAGCAAGAAATGAGTGCCGCGGTCTCCTATAAAAAGTCTTGCCTTAAGTGGAGCTTAACGGAAGTCATTTCATGCTCCTTGTTTTCAGCTTGCCCCAGATGATGCCTGGCGTTGCCCACACTGTAAGCAGCTGCAGCAGGGGAGCATTACGTTAAGCCTCTGGACTCTGCCTGATGTGCTTATTATACATCTAAAGAGATTTCGACAGGTAGGTAAACCCTCTGTCATGGCGAGAAAAGCTGTGACCAAGTTTCTTACGCCCCTACCAGTGGACTGCATAGGGATTCTTTGGCTGTCCCTCTTTGGTCTGGTGGTCCTGTTCATGTTGTTACAGACACATCTGTCTCAGTGTTTTGGGACATGTTTTGTTCTTACCTAGAGCAAAATGTGAACATTCTGTGACCCTTTAAATTCTAAATATTTTAGTTCATCCTGCAGATATTTTACTGTATTCTTGAGGACTTGCTTTAGATTTATAAATGTGTTTTAGATTTACAAATGTTATGCTTTAAATTTTGCTAAGAGTACTTTGGGATTTAAAAAAACAAACATACAAATGTAGAGCTCCTTTCTGGGGGTGGGTAGAATTCTCTTTGTACCTAAAGTAATAATGGGTGTCATCCTGCTCCCCAGGAGCTGTCATGTAGTTGGGAAGATGAGTCATAAATGTATACAAAGAAAATCTGCTTTGAGTTGTATTACTCTTGAGTCAGTTTTTCCCAAGAAGGCTGTCTATTCCCTAAAGTTAGGATTGTCCTGGGCAGGCCCCATTGTAAGAGAGGTAAATAGGAGGTAAATGTTTAAGAAGTCTGAGGCCTGGCTTTTAGGTTTGTATCTGAAAGATTAGGATTGGGCATCTCCCAGGTGAGTTGGACGCAGGGCCATGTACACAGTGGCAGAGGGAGCGATGTGTGCAAGGAGATAGCATGTGCCAAAGACTGAGCAGGCCAGTTTGGCTAGACTTCTGGAGGGTGGGGAAGGTGTGAGTTAAGGTAGAAGGGCTGCTTAGGGACTGGCTGTCCAAGCAGAATCTTTTGGGCAGAGTGGGATTCTGGTAAAGGATTACAAGCAGAGAAGCAACATGACCAAATTTTTTATTTGAAGATACCATTCTGGTTGCTGTATGGAAAATGTGAGGCTGCACAAATGAAGCTAGGGAGATCTGAAGGGAGCCATGGCAACCATCCATGGGAGGATGCTGATGGCTTGTATGAAGCTGTGGCAGTAGATAAGACCCGAATAGATTGAGCAGATGTTTAGGACTTGCTGATGAAGTGGAGGTATCTGGGATGACACGCCCAGGATCCCTAAGGCTGGGCTTTCACTCAAAGGTTTGGGGGTCTGGCTCCTATAATGGTAGAGTATCCCAACTGCATGCATCCTTTGGGATCTGCAGGTAGAGAGCTGGTGAGGTTCAGAGCCCTGCTTTCAGCCTTCTCTGGCCCCTTCGACACACGCACACTAACTTCCTTTGCTTTCTGTTTTTTTCGAAGGCAGCATCACTTTTGACTTCTCTCTTGTCCCTCCCCTATAGCCAATTACCTCTTCAGTTCAGTTGTGCCTCTGCAGTGCTTCCTGAGTGTGCCCCCTTCTCCCCATTCTTGCTGCCAGTCTGCCACTTCAGATTTGTGATACTTTCCAGCTGGTTGCAGTTGCATTGTCTTCTACTTGATTTCTTAACCTAAGCTGCTCCTCCCTTAGTGTCATGCCCTGCACACTGCTTACACAGCCCTAATGACATCCCCTCTCTCAAGCCTCAGCGCTGGACTGCAAAGTAAGGTCCAGATTCTTTAGTCTGACCTTCATGACAGTCCAGGGCTCATCCTGCCTTTCTTTTATAAACATTTTCCTTCTTTTAATAGATTCACAGCTCTTGAGGTGGGTGTTTATCCATGCCTGGTTAATTTCTTAAAGCTTCCGCACACACAGGAAGCATTCAGAAGACAGTATTGAGCTGACGGATTTCAGAGGATTTCCCGGTGGCCTTAATGGAAAATACAGATTACCCAAGATTATCAGCTAAATAAATATATTAAGTCAGTTTAAGCATTAACATGCTTGTTGGAAGAGATGGAGAGGAAAGGAGTGCAGTGCTTATCCAGTGGCTACTCTGCCAGCAGTGTGCTTCATCTCTCACATACACTATTACTCCATTACTTTTTATGCCTCTGTGACAGAGGTATTAGGATGAACTGCCTGATACTGACGATTTTGTATGTCAAAAACCTAAAACTCCTCTATCAGATAAGGAGACTCAAAGAAGTTCATCACCCCTTACATGTAGGTCATTGCTTATTCTATTTTTAGTGCTCTTACAACCTGTTCCTCCAGATAGTTAAAGCTTTTAATGTGTTTCCCTATTTTGTATGTATCTTGGGAAACCTCAGATCGGTAACTAAAACCACTCTTGCTGATAGGGTCCACATTCCACACACAACTGATCTGCCATCCACTTGCATGAAAATATCATCAGAACTTGTTTTTCTTCTTGCAACAGGAAGGAGACAGGCGTATGAAACTTCAGAACATGGTCAAGTTCCCCTTGACTGGCCTGGACATGACACCTCATGTGGTTAAGAGAAGTCAGAGCAGCTGGAGCTTGCCATCCCATTGGTCTCCGTGGAGACGGCCCTATGGACTCGGGAGGGACCCTGAGGACTACGTCTATGACCTGTATGCTGTGTGCAATCATCATGGCACCATGCAAGGGGGGCACTACACAGGTCTGCAGTGCGAGGGGCCGGGTGTCTATGCTGACCCTTCCTTCACACATGTTTTGCTTGTGACAGGGTTACTTTTGCTTTAGAATCTCCCTTTCTCTTCTAGTAGGCACTGTGCCAACTTTGAGAGCAGTTCTCATCCTCAGGATCTCTGTCCACGAACAAAAAATGAAAATTCTTCCTTTTCTGGAGTTGGATCATCCAGTAGCTGTCTGAACTGACTGAGGAGGGGTGCATGCAGACAGCACTGTCTGGGCCATTGAGGGCTCACTTTGGTTACCTCCCCTGCACTCCACTCTTGAGGTTTCACTCTACCTCCTTGAAATTCCAGCTTCTCCCTTGAGTGATTATATGAACCAGTTTTATACTGTCTTTAAAGTGACTTCAAAGAGTTTTCTCTTTGTTTTAGGGCTAAATTTATTTTTCATTTTTAAAAGTTATTATATTCATTATCTAAAATTTGTAGACAAGAGAGAACAGTACCATCATCCTTAGGCTCATCACTCAAAAATGATTGATAACTTTTTAAAAAAAATTGTGATTAACAAACATACCAAAATTTACCATTTGAACCAGCTTTGAAGTGTGCAGTTCAGTGGCATTAAGTACGTTCATGTTGTTCTGAGGCCCTCACCACCATCCTTCTCCAGAACGTTTTTCTTCTTCCCAAACTGAAACATTAAACAGCAACTTCCTTTTCTCCTCTTCTCCCCAATCTCCTGGTCACCACTAGTCTTTCTGTCTCTACGAATCTGATTACACCTGGAATCTTCTATAAGTGGAACCATATAGTATCTGTCCTTTTGTGTCTGGCTTAGTTCACATAACATGTCTGTAAGATTCACCCATGTTCTAGCATGTGTCAGAATTCCTTTTTTTTTTTTTTTTTTTTTAAGGCTGAATAATATACCATTGTATGTAGGTAATGTATGTAGGTAACATTTCTTCTGGTGTTTTTTTAGAAGTTTTGGCCATTAATTTACACAGTCATGATTGTCCTGGTAGGTTCTATTTAGGTGAACATTCATGGAACATGTCCTACTTAGCTTGCCCTGGGCTGTCAGAGGCACATCAGAAACAAATAGGCCTCAACCTCTGTCTTCCAGGAGTGTACTAAAGTAGGGGACCAGATAATATGTAAGATCAGTAACGTGTAATACATTCTGTGGTGGAAATGTGCTTGGGCAGTAGAGCAAGGGCCTGTGGGAGCATGATCAGAGTGTATCGGAGGCACAGGAGAAGCCATGGGGATGGTAACCTGCTGTTTGCACTTTAGGACTGTATGGGCTGACAGGGAGATAGACAGTAAAAGTATCAGAATCAGAAGCGCAATGAAGTGCAAGTCCTCCATGCATTCCCTGTATCCCAGTCTTCATGCTTACCATTTAACAGAAGTATTTGGATGTTGGTGCTTAATTTTTATAAACACTGTTTTTCATGACCACAGAACATTCTGTTGGTGGAACTCTAGTTTTATATAGGTGTTCCCCATTGTTGAACATGTCTATTGTCTCTGGTGTTTAACTTTTTTTTTTTAAAGATTTTATTTATTCATTCATGAGAGACAGAAAGAGAGAGAGGGGGAGAGAGAGAGAGAGAGAGAGAGAGAGAGAGAGAGAGAGAGAGGCAGAGAACACAGGTAGAGGGAGAAGCAGGCTTCATGCAGGGAACTTGATGTGGGACTCGATCCCGGGTCTCCGGGATCATGCCCTGGGCTGAAGGCGGCGCTAAACCACTGAGCCACGTGGGCTACCCTGGTGTTTAACTTCAACTGTAACACTGATGCATATCTTTTAGTTTATATTCCAGTTTTGTATTTCCTTGAGACTGAGTCTCAGAGCTGGAATTACTGGCTTAAGGACATGTGTGAACCTCAGGGGAGCAGGCAGGTGTGGGGACTCTTTCTTGGACATTTATGTGTGTGGGGGAGTCCACAGAGCACTGCTGTTAATTTGGCAATCTATATGGGTGAGTGGCCAGGACTTGGATTTTTGCTTCCTTCAGACTCAGCGCATTTCACATAGGTACTTCCAGGGACTTCCTTTCTTCCTGAACTCAGTGCTTCACACAACAAGGTTCAGGGTGCCATTGACTCATAAAGGTCAGGGGAGGTGGAGGAGGTTGGGCTTCACCAGTTAGTATTTCAAATTCTGTGAGACACTTCTATTAGCAGCTAGCTCCAAAAACCCCCGCTCAGCAGGCTGAAGAAGCCTCTTGGGCTCCTGAACCCCTCCACCAGTGACTGCATACAGTAATCTTTAATTCTTGAAACCCTTTTAGTTCTTGCAGTACTTAGATGCTGTAGGCAACAGTTATTTGTGAGAGGAATTATACCAATTCCAAGTATTATCTCATAGTGGAATGGTTTGTTTTGCCTCTGCCTGCCCTGGAAGCACACTCAGGGAGAAAAATGAGAGAAGTTGAAGTCCATAGAAGACAAAGTTAAATGTTAATTAAACTTTTAGATACAGTTTACTTTGTATTTTGGTTTAAATTAAATTTAAAATCTGATAAGACTTTATGTCTTGTAGATTTTGTGTTTATATTTTATGGGGCCCACTTGTATAATAAATGTCATGTATCTGATTGGATATTTGCCTTTGTGGCATTACCAGTCATGTCTTTTCTTGGATACTGAGTCATAGAATTATATACTCTTAGACTCTTCAGATGGAAAGGATTTAGAGATTATTTAATTTCACTGGGTAGCAGGTATAGTAGCACCTTTGCCTGGGTAGTGTTCACCTAGCTTCAGCTTTGGTAAAGAATGTGTCTTCCTTTGATATTGTTTCTTGGGAAAATAATGCACTTTCTAGCAAGATAGTATTGAGAAAAATAGGACAGTACTGAATTCTAACCTGTCATGTTACTCTTTGTATAGCATGGACTTGGGAAAATGCCAGAAAACCTACAGGTACTTTGGAGATAGCACAGTTTGGAGATAGGAGCAAGGGCTAGAAGCTAGACACCTCATCCATGCTCTGTGACCTACAGCAGGTGACCTTATATGAACTTGGTGACTACACCGGTGATCTAGAAGTGCTTGGGCCTGCCATTCAGGACCTGTTATTCCCTAGGAAGAGCTAAGGCACTGTCTGCATTATTTCCCCTTTTCGATGCCTACGCCATACCACTGCTTTTCTGATATATAAAAGTGTAGGGTTTTAGTTTAGACAACATTTTAAATGCCTTCACTTGTTGAATTAAAGATGAGTTTTTAAGTTTTCATTTGGAATTTTATTTTGCACTAGCTCGGGCTGTTAATCACATGGTTACGTGTACGTCTAACTTGGGTTTTTTTTTTTAATCTTTTTTAGGATTTTATTTATTTACTCACGAGAGGCACAGAGAGAGAGAGAGAGAGGCAGAGACACAGGCAGAGGGAGAAGCAGGCTCCGTGCTGGGAACCTGACGTGGGACTCGATCCCAGGTCTCCAGGATCACACCCTGGGCCTAAGGCAGTGCTAAACCGCTGTGCCACCTGGGCTGCCGTATGGCTAACTTGTGTACGGATTCTAGTTCAAACTTCTATGATGAAGAGCCTGCCTTTTTTTTTTTTTTTTAATTTCCAATTTTTAATGAATCAGTACCTTTGTAAAAATATCATAACAGTGTCAGATTGCTATAAAAGTTTTTAAATGCTTATCTTAGTTTGGGTGCTTATCTTGCTGTGGACGAGGACAAGTCTGCGAACCACCATTTAAATAACACTTGTCTAGAAAACATTTGAGAAGCTAGTGCCAGGAAGAAAAGCAAGTAGAATTATTTTGTAAAAGCACTGTTAAACCATTAATGATTTACTGTGCTGCCTTAGTTGCCATGATGTGACTGAGAATAGACCACCCTGAAGAGGAATAGATTGATGCTAGTGCTGGGCTGCTCTGTCTCCTTCTTTTAGGCATGTCCCACTCCAGAATAGCAGCCACCTCACCAGCCGGGTCATTTATGTTTCACACCTGGCCTGACACCAATGACAAGTTGCTGTTTAATCAGCTGCCTCTATTGCTGCTTCTCTCCCCTTCTGGTCTTAGGGGTCCATAGCTGTACGTGATTTCCCTCCCCATTATCAAAAGATTCTTATTCTGTTCTTTTTGGGGACCTATCTGGTGTAGCCCTCCTTGCCTGGGTGCCTCTCAGAACCCTATATGCCCTGTCCCTGGGATGTTCAGCTAAATATTCTAGCACTCATTTATTCTTACTCCAATAAATGGGTATTTTTAGAAAGTGTGATAAGAATTGTATCCCTCTGGATCAAGCTTATCACACCCTTTGAAATATCCTTACAAGATCATGTGGTTTCCAGGAACACTGAGTTCTTGTCTGCTTTTGCTGGTACTTGAGTGGTCTTTCTTTCTCAGGGCTTAGAATTTGAACTGAAGAGAAACATGCATGCATTTATGAGCTCAAATGTTAGTTTGCCAGGGAACTTCCATGGATGCATTTTTTGTGCTACCCTTCAGGGAAGCAGGGTGGGGTAGTTGAAGTGTTAGCTCAGAGACCAGATACACCTGAATTGATCTGGGCCCTGCCCTTCACCAGCTGCTTGACTTTGGGGAAACTGGTTAATCTTTTTGAGCCTCTGTAAAATGGGAATAATAGTAGAGCAAATCTCATAGGATTAACTGAGAGGTTTGGCACATAATATATGCTAAACAAATAGTAACTGCTTTTAGTATTAGTATCATCATTTCTAGTTCTGTTTTCTATCTCTAATAAATGCTAAAATGTGACAACATACTTAAATCAGGGTTTCCCAGCCTCAGCACTCTTGACAGCTTGGCTGGATAATTCTTGCCATGGGGACTGTCCTGCACATTGTAGAATGTTTAGCAGCATCCTTGATTACCCACTCAATGCCAGTAGCACCTTACCCTCTAGTGTGACAGTCAAAGATGTCTCCATTCATTGCTAGATGTCCCTAGAGGGGCAAAATTGTCCCAGGTTGAGACCCACTGGTTTAAATAAATGAGTATATTGTGTTTTCTAAGATTAAATAGAATTTTGTCCATTTGGAATAGTTTAGAATTTCTCAAAAAATTTTGCCTGAGCATGATAGGCCATTTGTATTTTTTTTTTTTACCACTTTGTGCATTATTATGTACAACCTTAAAAAGCTCTTGAATTAATTATATAAGCCAAAGCACTGGTTTGGACAGAGTGGAGTGGCTGGTGCCCTGGTGCCCACCGTCCCTGGTCCTCATGACAGACTCTTTTTTGGCAGCGTACTGTAAGAACTCTGTGGATGGCCTCTGGTACTGCTTTGATGACAGTGATGTGCAACAGCTATCAGAAGATGAAGTTTGCACACAGACAGCATACATCCTTTTCTACCAGAGGCGGACAGCTATTCCATCATGGTCAGCCAATAGCTCAGTGGCAGGTAAGGCCAACTTCTTCTTTGGCAGTTTTTTCTAGAACAGAAGATTATAATTAATGGTCCAGAGAAATTCTCCACAAGGTCTCATTACTCTTTTGGGTTGATCAGATAAATTCTCATATTTGCATTTAATCTAGAAACCAAAGTGATTGCAGTCAAGGAAATAGGAGTGGAATCCACAAACCAGCAGAGTTCCCATGGAAGCTGGTAGAGCCTGTCTCAAAATGAGGTTGCCATGTTTGCTTGTGGAATGAGTGAATGAAAAAAAGCAGTATAGCATGCTATTCTAAAAGCAAGAAGCAATGAAACTTGGCTTTGCCATGTTTTGGTTGGATCATCTGGGAGCACAGCCCATCCAAGCCACATATTTAATCATCTGTAATGTTGGAGTACTAATAATACCTGCCTTATGGGGTCATTCTGTGCATCAGATTAGGTCAGTGTATGTTAGAGCCTTTTAGAAAAGGTATGGCACCATTAGAAATGTTTTTTTTTCCCCCTGTGAAGTCGGACTGTTTTGTTACAAGGGTTGAAGGCTATAGTCCTATTAGATGGGCTGGGTAGCTGGATGGGGTCTAGTCTTGATGTAGCCACAGACAGTCCAGACAAGGCGATGCATGCTTCTTAATGCAGAATTTAAGAGACTGTGGCTGAGGACAGGGATATGGTAATGTGGGATCACATTAGAGAGTATTTACCCTGGATCCCCTAGAAGCTTGCGAGGAGTGGGTTTGAAGCTACTGAAAAGGAAGCACTGCTGAAGCAGAGTGACCCCCTGCTGGAGTCAAGCCCCACTCAGTATACCTGCCTTTCTATAGCCACTCACTCCGTTAAGAGAGCGAAGCACTCCAGTGCTCTGTGCTTTCCCCCAGTGCTTTCCAGAGCCTGAGATAGCTTGGAAACTACACCCTCTTGAGGTCTACTTGAGTCGTGTTCTCCATTTCAAGAGCATTTTCTGTTGCTCCAGAATATATTTCAGGGCATCCCTGGAATGGACTTACAGGTTGGCAGATAGCCTGGGTGTGTGCATGTATTTTGTATATTAATATTGTGAAAATGACTTAATGATTCCACAAAGCAGTGAGACTAAGAAGATAACGGAGCACTGCTGCTTTTGTTTGCTCTGTGTCAGAATTTTTCCTCTGTGTGCTTAGAGCAGTGCCCGGCAGTAGGTGCTTAATAAATATTTGTACAACTAGTATGAATGATTCTGTTGTCATCACTTTAAGACTTGCACTTTGCATTATGAAGTGTCCATGCCTATACTTGGATTTTGTTACTATAAACATGTGTGAGAGTCTGCCCTCCTCATCTGAATGGGATATTCAAGCAGGCACAGTGTGGGGTCTAGGAGTTATACTGACATTGGCCACCTCCCAGCTTGGTAGCAGCACTTTCCTGAGGATGTGTGCCAAGCAGCTGGCCCAGGATTCTGGCCTGACCTCAGTGCCCGCTTCCTTTTCCTACAGGCTCCACGAGTTCCTCCTTGTGTGAACATTGGGTGAGCCGGCTCCCGGGGAGCAAGCAAGCCAGTGTGACCTCCGCAGCTTCCTCCAGACGCACCTCCTTGGCCTCATTGTCTGAGTCGGTGGAGATGGCCGGGGAGAGGAGTGAAGATGATGGTGGGTATGGGTTTTGTAACGCATTTCCAAAATGGTGTCTCACAGACATGGCACAGGGTCCCTCGTACTTAGAAACTAAGCCCCAAGAAGACTGCGGGAGAAGGTAAAAGAGCTGCGTAGCTGTGCATTACAATCATAAGTGCCATTTTCTATAAACGGGGTTATTCGCTTTTCCTCTGTGACCTCTAGGAAGACTTTCTCCTACTTCATTATTTTCCATTTCTAAGGTCTAGTTTGGAAGCTGGGGCTTTAACTCTGTGCAAAAATGTGTATACGTTTCTTTGAAAGTGCTTTTCAGAGTCACTAAAATCTGTAAGGGGACTCTGCAAGGTGGTGATTTGCTCAGGGCCACCTGGCAAGGAGGAGTCACTGTGTTGGCTCCACTCTGCTTTGGGGCTTCCTGACTCATCTCCCCTTTCCACCGTGGTTTCCTTTAGAGGAATTTGTATCGTGTTCTTTTGAGTACAGAAGCACCTAGAACAAAAACTCTTGCCTCTGCATAAAGATAGTTTTTAAGAAATCTGAAGATTGTCACGTGGCAAAACTTGGGAAATATGGTACAAATAGAACTGTGTTTTTATTGTGTTTTTTACCTTTCCTTACCACATGAGTAATAGCAGCAGAACCCACGGTTCTGACAGGAACCCCAGGTGGTGCTGGAAGGATCAGGCAGTCCAGGCAGTGAGGCAGGGAGTAGGTGAGAGTGAGCTCAGCTTCTCTAACGAGGACGGTGACTCATCTCCCAACAAGTCTCCTTCTGCAGCTAACATGTCAGTTGCTGTAATCTGCGTCTGGTGACCGTTGATTGTAAGAACTCGAAGTGGAGGGAAACAGCAGGAGCCTGGAAGGGGCCGCCTGGCCCTGGAGGTCTGTGTCCTTGCAGCTCCACGCCTGCTCTCGCTTCTGGCTTGTTGCCTCTGCATTTGTAAGTTAACAAGAGTATTTAGCTGGAATTGCTAAGTTCCTGGCATTTTATGGAAAACTGGCCAGTGAATCTTTGCTTGTTTAAGTAGAGGTTTTTCTCAATGCAGCCTTTAAATTTAGAATTCACTGTTGTGTTAACAGTAAGCTGGTTTGCCCTCGGTCTGTTTTTAGACAGAGTAGTTGGTGAAATCAGGATCCTCTTAAGCATCATCATCACAGTGGTACTGGGTGATGCCCACAGAATAGAGTCTGTCTCTGAGGATCTTATCTGGACAGTTTTATAAATACCACAGCTACAGGGCCAAGTACGTATGGAATTGAATTTAGAATATTTTCTTTGGAAGGAAGTTTTAAGCTACTCAAAATAGAAGTATGTAGTTCTAATTATGAACTTTTTCTTCAGAAGTTTGAAATCACTCAGGATAAGAGTGTATCATCTCTGGTTCTTTCCACCAGTCTGCTGTTATAGTCAGTAATTACAGGCCAACCTGCATGTGGCATTGAGTCAAGGACAAGAGTTTGTGGTTCTGGTATTAACTCTGCCTCTGATTTTGTGTAATCTCGAGCCCACAACTTGACTTCCGTGGGCCCTGCTGGTTCTTAGTTGAAGAAGCCAGATCAGTAGCTCACATTTACTGAGCGTCTGTGAAGTGCCAGGTGGGCACAGGACTTTTAGGACTTTATTTAGTTCTTAGAGCAGCCCTGTAAATTAGAGCAAGGGTCAGCAAATGACAGCCTATGGGCCAAATTTGGCCCCCACCTTTATTTGTAAATAAGGTTTTATTAGAACACAACCACATACACCCATTTGTGTATGTGTCTTCTGTGGTGCCATTTCATGCTGCAGTGACAGAGTTGAGTGGTTGGTCCACGAAGCCTAGAGTATTAACTGTCTGGGCCCTTAAGTCTCTCGATCCCTGATGTACAGCAAGAAGGTAAAGGGACCGTTTGCCAATCCCTGAGTTAGAATGTCCCTATTTTATAGATAGGGGAACTGGGTTCAGAAAAGTTGAAGTCATGTGGCTGCTCCTTGACTCCAGATGTGCTGGCTCTGAAGATCACGCTCCTGTCATTCCAGGCTTGCCTTCCTCCCTTCTTCAGTTATCTTAAGGTGTTGCTGGGACATGTTTTCAGTTTAACTTAATGCTATTTTCTCTGCTACATTCAGGAGGTTTCTCCACTCGGCCATTCGTGAGAAGTGTCCAGCGTCAGAGCTTGTCATCCAGATCTTCTGTCACCAGCCCTTTGGCCGTTAATGACAATTGCATTAGACCTTCTTGGTCCCTGTCCGCTAAGCTGCAGATGCGCTCCAATTCTCCCTCCCGGTTCTCAGGGGACTCTCCGATCCACACCTCTGCCTCCACCTTGGAGAAGATTGGGGAGGCAGTGGATGACAAAGTCTCCATCTCCTGCTTTGGCAGCTTGCGGAACCTTTCCAGCAGTTACCAGGAACCAAGTGATAGTCACAGCCGACGTGAGCACAAGGCTGTGGGTCGGGCCCCTCTGGCTGTCATGGAAGGTGTGTTCAGAGATGAATCAGACACCCGCAAATTGAACTCCAGTGTTGTAGACACACAGAGCAAAAACTCAGCACAAGGGGATCGTGTGCCCCCCATCTCCGATCCATTTGATAACAATAACCAGATTGCTTATGTGGATCAGAGCGATTCTGTAGACAGCTCTCCAGTCAAAGAGGTGAAACCCACAAACCACCCGGGCTCCCTCACAAAGAAACCAGACAGCACAGCCAAGAGATCCCCCAGTTCCAAAGGCGCTTCTGAACCAGATAGAAGCTTGCGGAAGGGGAGACCAGTCTTGGCAAGCCAGGAATCATCTCTTTCAAGTACATCCCCTTCTTCTCCTGTTCCTGTAAAAGTTTCTGTAAAGCCCTCCCGCTCCCGAAGCAAAGCAGATTCTTCTTCCAGGGCCAGTGGACGGCATTCCTCCCCTGCCCCTGGCCAGTCCAGAAAGGAGTCCTCCCCCAAACCCCAGGACTCCGTGTCATCTCCTTCGCCCCAACGGCAAAAGTCCTCTTCCTCCCTCACCTACACCGCTTCCTCTACATCTGCCAAAAAAGCTTCGGGCCCTGCTGCAAGGGGCCCCTTCCCTCCTGGGAAGAGCAGGACTTCAGACCGGAGCTTGAGTAGAGAGGGCTCCAGGCAAAGCCTTGCTTCGGATAGAGCCAGCGTTACCTCCAGCTCTAAACCCAACTCCCCCCGGGTGAGCCAGGCCAGGGCAGGGGAGGGCCGCGGGGATGGAAAGCATGTCAGGAGCTCCTCCATGGCCAGCCTGCGTTCCCCCAGCACGAGCATGAAGGCTGGTCTCAAGAGGGACAGCAAGTCGGAGGACAAGGGGCTGTCTTTCTTCAAGTCAGCCTTGAGACAGAAGGAAACCCGGCGGTCAACTGACCTTGGCAAAACAACCTTGCTCTCCAAGAAGGTTGCTGGGAGCTCTGTCAAGCTGGCTGGTAAGAGTGGCATGGACGACAAGGCAGAGAAAGGCTACCAGTCTCCAGGTGCCCAGCAGCCAAATGCAAGTACAGTTGGAAAAGAGCAGTTTGTCTCTAAGGACCCTGCTTCTGCTAAACATTCCCTGCTGTCTGCTCGTAAATCCAAGTCTTCCCAGCTAGATTCTGGAGTGCCCTCGTCTCCTGGTGGCAGGCAGTCTGCTGAGAAATCCTCAAAAAAGTTATCTTCTAGCATGCAAACCTCTGCACGGCCTTCTCAAAAACCTCAGTGATGTTTCTGCAATCCAAGTGTTTTATCTGTAAAGATGTTTATTTATTTAGAACCCTTTCCCTCCCACCAAAGCCCTCTATGCTTTTGTTTTGTATGTTTTGGGTCACGTGCCTGGTGTGTGTGTGTGCGCGTGCGCGAGTGTATGTGTGTGTAGAATTCAACTGCAGATTGTTAAAAGCGTCGCCTTATTCTGCCATTGAACCAAATAACAGCCATAGGCAAAGCATTGATACAAGCTAACTGGAATAATGTAGATGAGACCCTGGGCGGTCCCTTTAGCAATTGTACATACTTTCTAGAGAACTCTAATGACTTTTGTTGGACACTAGGGTTTGGAAATCTGTGAACCAGTTAAGCTGTCATTAGTGTGTACTGTAGAAGGATTGGGTTATTTGACTTGGGTTTCATCTGAGCAGGATTTGTCCTCACAGCTGATTGTCGTGTGGCACCAGGAGCTCTAAAAACTGTGACACTAACAGTGAAACCAACAAACCGAGAGAAGACTTTGCTTTCTGCACTTTGGCCCCATCTACCAGTCTCTGTAAAGGGCAATATTTTAACACTAATGTTTCTCAGGTATATACTCAGCTAGTCTACAGTGGATGCGCATCAGTAAAAGGGTTAATGAAGGAGGTGGCCTGTGGGGTGACTGTCATTTCTCTGACTGCCACAGATAGAAATTTCTAGAGGTAGGAAAGAAGTCTTTCATACCTTCATGTCTGCACAGATGTATGTATCATAAGCTGTCTTGATTCTTAGGATATGTCCTAAGAGGTGGTACATTTGGACAGCCAGAGAGCCAGTCACTAGTTCATTTTGTTTTTCTTCTAAATTTGCTACGCTAAGGCCTTTGAAATGCAGTAGAGCAGTTAACACATTTGAAAGATTCCTGGAAAAAAATGGATTCTGAATTGGATGCATGAATCTGTACCATTTTCCTTCTCTGGTGTTGCCTTTTTCTGTGTTAGAAGCTAAAGCTCCATGCTGCCTTGCGTGCACATGCCTGTGTTTCTTGTAACTTGGAGAAGAAAGAAGTTGCCTAATGCCAAAAGTCAGTTAGTTGATGGCGTGTTGAAGCAATGTGTGACACAGTATTACGTGTGCACTTCTGATCCTGCCTGCCTGTCAAAGTTGTAGATTGCTTTTCAGTAAGTCATTTTTTTCTTTGTGCTTAAGATTTCATCTCTTAACCAGAACTCAAAAGTAGGAGTGGGGCATGTTCCATCTGGCATTGTCAGTGCAAATTACATTTCATGTTTAGAAAACAAGGGAACCTCACAGAATCTCACAGATAAGCAAGATATGTAGTTTTTCAAGCTTTCTGGAGGTATCCTGGCTATTTATAGCCTTTTTTCCCCCATTTTTATATTTTTTTAAAATGTCGAGAGTCATGGTCCTGATTCTCTTTGAATTGCATTTGTCACTTTGCCATGAAGTATAGCATGCTAAGTTTATATGCTTTTAAATATTAACTTTTTAAAAAAAATTAAAGCCTTCCAATTCTTCCTGAACTCTTGGTGCACAGATCCATTTATAACCTTCCTTTTCAGTATTGCTCTGTGTGAAGTAGTTAGAACACATGCATATGAATAGTTATGAATTCTGCACTGCCTTCCCCCCCCCCCCCCCCAGTACCTCTTGGGAAGTATTTCCCATAGGTTTCTAACTTTATTTTGCTGCTATTTTGAGCATTAGCAGGTAACTTGCGAGTCTGGAGGCCATTTATGTTGAGGATAGCTAGAATTTTAGACCCTTGCAATATTTAAGACTTAGCTCCTCAGCTTTGTGAAAGCTACCATAGTGCTCCATGAAGTTCATTGAACGTGAGCCTGTTGCCCTGTGCACTTGGTCCTATACTCACCCCTTCACTCGGTGTCCCTGTTTCACTGCACAGGCGTCTGGTTTCCCAAAGCAGCATTCCTCTCCTCTGCTGTAGTGTGACTGTGTAAGACCGGTTGCCATCAGTGTTGTTCCTGCCTCTGCGGGCACACTGACAGCCCCATCAGTGTTTGGCCACTGCTAGTTTTTCAGTGTCACATTTATTTCCTGGAAAGGATACACCAAGTATGGGATCGTCAGTACCAGGAATTGAATGTCTGATTGGAGCTTCTTGTCTTTCTTTGAAATAAGTGAATATCCTGTGAAATCTATCTGAAGCTCTGCAATAGCCTTGGAATTGAGTTTGACTACAAAAAGGATTTTAATAACACCTTTCTCTAGGGCTACTATCAGTTAAGCATTAGTAGAATGTAGTTTAATTTTCATAGTGGCAAATATTTTTATTCTCGAGTCCTCCAGGAATGGATTTTCCATTATATCTAGTGTTTTAAGCAAAAAACAATTCTCCAAATGTCTTTAATTTTCCATGGGATCTAGAAATAAAATTTAAGCATCTGTAAACTATATATCTATGGAGTTTAGTCCCCTTTTTTGGATATAAAAAAAAATCAGGAAGTGTGGCATTGTCTAGGCATCTTTAAGCTGTTTCATTTCTGGGCTTGGTAAATAATGAAAATCACATCCCTAGCTACAGGTACAACCTTTAAGCCACAGAAAAGGATATTTGCCCAAAAGTTTGGAGATGCTCTTTGAGGTGTGGAAGATCTTATTGGAAAATTATTACTTGGTTCAATTCAGTTGTTTGGTAGGCAAGTTAGTTGTTTGGTAGGGACTTGGTGTTTGCTTTGTTTTTTATTTTCCCAGTGATGTTTGGCACATTGAGCATATCTATGCTTTGAGGTTAAAAATTATCTGCTGAGGATGGTGGGCCTGGGTTTCTGGTTGACAACTAGGTGGGTCTGAGTAGAGCAGTCATTTCCTGGTAGGCACAGAATAATCCCTGACAGTAGTGTTGTTCTGTAATGTTTTTTTGCTTTTAAAAAGCTTTTTATTTTTGATTTCTTTTCCTGTGAACATCCAGTGCACTGAGACCATGTCATTCCTTCAGACAGCCCTGCACCTTGCCTCTGTAATCCCTTATATAATGTGGAAGCACAAAGAAACCGTTAAGCTCACTTCATCTCAAGATCACCTCCCAGCCCTTAGGGTTTCCCATCCTAAAAGCAGCCTAACTGAAATGAATACCTTGCTGGACCAATAGAAACGGACGTGGGAATATTTGTGGTCTGGTAAAATATTGTAATTTGATATGAGGCTGCCCTCAACCCTTGTAATCATTCTTCATTCATTCATTCATTCATTCATTCATTCTGCAAACGTTCGTTGAGGGCCTGCTTTGCTCGTAAAGGCGAGCAGAAAGTGTCAGGAATTTGCTGTAGTCGAGGAGCCCTGGGAGCGCAGCTGATGAGCCAAGGGATGCCTGTGATACCCCAAATGGAGTGACGGTCCCCGACCCCCGAACAAAGAGAGCAAGTGGATTCTGGTGAACCGGCCAAGGCCTGTGGTCCTCTTGAGCAAGTCTCTCCTGTTCCGGAAACCAAAAGTGCCCTTCTTCATCTTTGGAGACATTTTACTCTTACATCTACTTTTTTCAGACTGAGCTGTCTCTGCTACTTAGGGGTTGAAAATCCATTACAAAGTCACTTTCCATTAGAATTTGGTCATCCATGTTTGTATGAAACAGATATGGGGATGCGGGGGTGGGGGACAAATTGCCATCTCTCTAAAGAAACTATCATGGAAAAAACTAGGGACAGTATGTAAAGGAAGCAACAATGGCAGCCTTGAGGAAAAATGGAACAGAGAAGAGCTGTGAACAGAGCTCACTTATTTCAAATAAATGTGTTTTTAAAAATAGATTGACATGTTACATTTCATTCTGACAAATTACCCAACAGCTAAAGTTGTTTCCTACATAGGTTATCAGAATTATTGAATGTCAAGATAATTAGTGTTTCTGGGTTGGATTTTTGAGATAGTTACAGAAATCATAAGCACAGTTTCAATAAAACATATTCTGTGAGGTGTGTTGAACTTGTATTATTTGGAAGTAAGAAGAGCAAAATTTGCTGACAAATCAGTGCCTATATCATAAACATAAAGTAGCTGTTACTGTGCAGGCTGGTCATCTTTACTTTCATAAAGGGTACATTATTGTTAAACTTCACTACATTTTTGGGAGGGAAATCCTATGCTTTCTTTAAATGAACAGTATTTCACACTGCCTTTTAATCAACTTTCATAGTGTTTGTTTTGCAGCCGCAATTTGAGCATGACCAGTCATTTTTTTCCCCCAAGTAATGAAAACAATTTTGCATGGCCTCCGTCTAACCCAGAAAGCATGTTCTTACGACCTATGCAAACAACTAATAAAAAATACGCTAAATGTAAATTTTTAAAAAGGCAATTCTTGGATTATGGAGCTCTATTTTTGAATTTGTAATTTTTTACATGTGGCTTAATCATCAGTACCGAAAAGCATGAATGTGTTTTCTTGTTTTGCTTTGCACATGTTTCTCTTTGCTGATTTTTTTTTGATTGTTGGCAAGATTGTATGTAAAATAAGTATTTTGCAAGCAGGAGTGGAATTGGATATGTTGAACACACACGGGTTTATATACTGTATTTAGCCTGAAGACTTTCCTAAAGTATTTTGTTCTAAAAATAACCTGCCATTTTTTATAGATTTTAATTCTTTATATCTTCTAGGGTTCTATCGTGGTCACAAGAAGAGAATGTGGCTTCTAATAGTGCTAACAATTTTAAAATGCTTTTGTAGAGACTTAAAGGTGTTTTGGAAAGCTTTGGAGCTTCCCAATCACTGGTCACAATTAAGACTAAGCTCATGGAATTTATGGTAGCATTCTACAGTGGATTAGGTTATAGATCTATTTCACATGCATTTAAAACTGGTATTTCCCAATTTTGGAGGGAAAGGAGATCCACTGCAGGCTTAAGAGGCTTTTTCAAGTCTCATACGCATACTCTCCGCAGGATTCTGTTAGGCCTCTTCTGAATGACTTGTCTGAGATTCTGATACTCAGCATTCACTAGAATCATCTAGAGAACTTTTAAAAATGCCTGGGTCCCACTCCCAAGCTTTTGATCTAATTAGTGTAGGGGCAGGTCCCAGGAATTGCCATATATTTTAAAGCTCTTGGGGGTTTCTAATTTCAGTCAATTGAGAGCCACTGTGCTACACTGTCCCTATGGTGAGAATCACTGCCATGTGAAGCACTCAGGAGTGACTCAGACTCCTGTTTCATTGGAGAGGAAGTAAAAGATTGAGAACTACTGATACTAATATTCTGTTTGAAGTAAGGGAGCCTTTCTGATTTGAGGCCCTATTTGGGTGCTTGGAGCGCTTGCCAGTCTTGTGGGATCTGGTGCTCTTCAGTTTGCTGGAGCCGTCAAGAGTCCCCTGTCGGGTGTGCGTCCTTCCCAGAGCCTTTTCTCTGGCTACCACCACAGGGCCAGACCCACAGGGGAGTTGGGAAGTCACTCTGAGTTAGAAAATGCTGAAGTAAAACCTTCATGGCCTTGGAAAACCTGTTCCTGATTTTGATAGAATGTCTCCATAGTAATTACAATAGCAAACTCGAGGCTGCCACCTAATTTCCTAGTTAGCTCATTCTCTACTTATCCACAGAGTCGTTTTAGGAGTTGACTTTTAGTTTAAAAACAAATGTGAAGCATTTTATTTGGGAGTCTGTTTTGGTAACCCTCTGTGTTTTTTCAAGTAATTAAAAAAATAATATCCAAAAATTTGGCAGTGTATGTTACCTATGGAGGCAAATGAAATTTAATTTTAATCTGTGGTGAGCTGAATGCACTTAAAACATCTTCAAAGTAGTCTGCTGTGCTTCTCAGGTGGTTTCATCCTGTTGAGCATTATGCTGCCTACAAAAAAAAAAAAAAAAGAAAGAAAGAAAGAAACAATTTACCTGGTATTTTCAACATTTCAAGGAATGAAATCTAAGTAAAAATCCAAGTTGGAAATCCTCCTTGAAGCAGAGTGACCTGTTGTGAAAATGAGGTGTGAAGTTGCCTAGGTGCTATTCTAAGTGTCACAGTATAGTACCAAATGGGAAGGCAGTTCCTATGTTTTCTGAAGCTCACATTATCTTTGTAGGCCTTTCAAACATGTATTTGTGTTCCCTATCAGTTTGCTCACCAATTGTGCCTCTCACCACTGGTTAAAATCAAATTCAAGCCCCATTATAGTTTCTTTAGCAAACTCTTTAGTTTTACACTGGAATTTCTGTAGTTGTCTTAAAAGCTGCATGTCCTGTCACTGTACACAAAATGCTTTGATATTGTTCATGCACCATTCATAGTGATTTCTGTATAATTTTCTTCTTTAGTTGTACAGTAGTATGGAACGCAGATATCTTTCCTTGAGGCTGGAAGAAAAGTGTATCATACATTTTAAATTATTTTAGAACAAGTGCATGAGATATGTCACTGATTTCTGTTATTTATTTGTATTATTATTCAAGGTGTATGCACTTTTAAGAAGCAAAATTTATATTTTTATGTTTAAAACGTTTTATTTCTGGAACAGCAGTTGATTATATAGTATACAGTTGGAATTAAGAGAAAAGTGGAAAATGTAACAAAATATAATAAATTTATTACATGATGCCCTCTTTAAGCCATATTCCTCTTTCTCCCCTTGCCAACCTGTATCTTTTTGGTGTTGACTAGCCTTGGAAATTAAGCAGAAATTATCTTTGTACCACACTTATCTCTACAAAATGCTTTAAAGCCATAGTGTTAAGTGAAAAAAAAACGAGTTACAGAAGAATATAGACAGATTTTAAAATTTTAAAGATATCACAATACAACTATGCTTTAGTTTTCACAATCAGGGATTATTATTCCCACTTTCTCCAAGCGGTAATGTGTCCTAGGCCATGGGGCTGGGCAGGAACTCACAGTCTGGCTTAGCCATTCTTTTCTGGGCTCTCTCTTGCCCCCAGATAACCTCTTTTTTAACCTCCGTGTTCTGATAAAAATTTTTCTGGCAGTCTTACTTCCCCTCAGGACAGGACTCCCTGTTGAAGATGTCACATTACTTATGACCACTTGGGGGCACCAAAGATGGCCATCAAATGTAGCTTAAAAGTCTAATTGCGTTCTTCACCTCTCTGTTGAAATGCTTGTTCTGTTGAAATGCTTGTTCGTTATGAGTTGAGTGCATTTTCAGTGAGCAAGGGTTTCAGTTTAGATAAGTACCACCAAGCCATCATTTTTCCTGGAATCTTAAATATAGGTCATAGAGAAGAGCTTGTTTTCTAAAGCACAGCATGATGGTTTAGGGTTGGGGCAGGGAAACAGTTCCTAACCAAGGGCAGATATGAGCCATATGCCCTAAAACCAAGGTAGAGCACTTAAAACCTTTCTCATTTTAAGTAGTGAAATTTTGCTTTAGAATCCATAAAGAGTTGAACCATGTAGTACACCAATTACTCAAGAGGCTTCATTATGCCTAAAAGTACATGTCATAAAGTACACACATTTAATACACATATTTAAGGGTCATTTTGTCTGTCTCCATAGAAATTGGAAGATTATTTTCAAATATCTAAATGAACAGTATCTCCCCCTGTACACTTTCCATCCTCTGTCAGTCTTCCTGGAGAAAGCAAAGGCATGATAAAGCCACTGGCCCTGGACCACATGTTCCTGTGTGCCCAGGGAGTGATTCTAGGCCACTAGCTCTGCAGGATGGGGCTTAGGCCTGTTCCCCACCCTCAGTGTCCCCTTTCTCTTTCTGAGGCGTACTCCTGCGTTCTCCCCAGTAGTGGTTTTGGTTTTCTTTTTTGCAGCCCTCTTCTGGTCTCAGGCATCTCTGCACAGGTCATCGCATCTAGCAGAACTCCCCTCTCTAGGTGGGTTGGGTCTACTTCACCTAGAACCCTCTGGAATTCAATCTTGATTTGGTCTGGTCTTAGCCATGTTTCTCATTCCCTACATAGAGAAACAACAGGGGCTCTCTCCCAAAGCGATAGGTTTTTGCATCATGCCATATAGCCTGATGGCTTTGCATCTCATTTCTTCCAGAGTTCAAGGCTGTGATGTTAGTCTGACATGTTCTCTGTATTTATAACAGCTTGATTTTTCTTTAAGTGGAAGTTGTGAGTGAAACCAGGGTTGTAGTCAGAAATCCGGCCACTCCACCACTGCAGGCTCTCCTGTGCCTTTCAGAAGAATCCGTAGAAGCCCACAGTATACTAGGCCATCTCAGATTCATTGTCCCTTCAGAGAGGGGTAGGGAAGGCACGTGTGGGTGCGGCACAGTGTGGCTGAGGATGGGCGGCACCAGTGTCAGGGTTCCCAGTCCATGAATGCTCGTGGTGGGGAAAGTGCCCCTTTACTGTTGCACTCAAGGCTGAAGTGCAAGTTCCTTCATTTAGTAGTGCTTCCTGTATGTCTATGTGCTGGGGATATGATCATGTCCTGAAGAGCTCAGGGTCTAGTCCTGTCAAGTTGGTTGATGATCAACATTTCAGTGCTTACTGCCATGCTCTTTACTCCTTGCTTTTCCCTCAAGGCATCACCACATTCCCATCCCTCTTCCAGCCCACTTCCTGGAATTCTGCCTAGAAGGCTTCTCTTCCAGGTACCCACATGGCCCATGCCCTCATGTTCTTCATGTCTTTACTCAGATGTCATCGAGTAAAGTCAGTGGAGGTCAGTGGTCAGCAAGGCCTCCCCTGACCACCCTTTTAAAACATTGCAACCTACTTCATGTTCTCTCCCTCTTCCCTACTTTATTTGCCTCATGTAACTTGTCACTAACTACCACAGTGTATATGCAGTCTGTATGCAACATCAGTCTATCTGCAGTATAT